TTTATAATACTAAATATTTTTTCCAAGTCCATTTTATTTCAAGGATAAAAAGAAAAAAGGAAAAAACTACAAAATTTCAAAACATGTCAATTTAGAGACAACAGTGGTCCATCCACTGTGCATTGTCATCCTCAAATCATTCACCCAGAGCAGAAGACATCTGCCTTCAATGTCCAAATAATATGAGCACAAATCTTTCTCTTCAGTGAACTCAGAGAAATCAGTAGTATAACTATTTTAACTATTTTTATATACACACACATAATACATTTTTTCTTTCAGCTTCTAACACTAATGAAACAATACTATGTTTATACGTCTTACTTCACTAATGAGTACGTTCTCAAGTTACACCCATTTGCCTATAACAGTCTGCAGTTTGTCCTTCTTTGTGGCTGAGTAGTACTTCATTGTATGAAAATACCAATTTTTTTTTTTTTTGTCCATTCCTTAGTTGATGGGCATTTAGGTTGTTTCCAAGATCTGGCTGTTACAAACTGTGCTGCTAAAACATGGGTGCACATATATCGCTGGGAAACACAAACTTTTAAAAACCAACCAAACAGGGGCTGGGGATTTAGCTCAGCGGCATAAGCGCCTTCCTTGCAAGTGTGTGGTCATGAGTTCGATCCCTGGTACCGATAAAAACAACAACAAAAAAACCCCAACCAAACAATTTTTAATATGAATTGTTATGCCAGGTGTGGTGTTACACGCCTGTAATCCCAGCACAAAGGAGACTGAGGCAGGAGGATCACTGTAAGTTGGAAGCCAGCTTGGGCTACAAAGTGAGTTTAAGGCCAGCCTGAATTGCATAGTGAAACCTTGTCTCCAAAAGATATATAGGCTGGGGGTTTAGCTCAGCGGCATGAGCGCCTGCGTTGCAAGTGTGTGGTCATGAGTTCAGTCCCCGGTACCGATAAAAAAGAAAAAGACCAAAAAAAAAAAAAAAGATATAGATGAATAGTCAATACAGTTTCATTTGAAATTTGTTAATGTTCCATAAATTAAAAATGAATCAAGAACCTACATCTCTGGAAGTGGAAGATGAAAAGACTAAGAAAGATCCCAGTAAAAACTAAAAATCATCATGAAGACCAAATTCAGGAGCCTATGGATTTTCCTTATTTCTATCAACCACATTTTTTGTTGTTGTTACTGGCAATTGGACCACAGCTTAAGCCACAGCTTATGACACAGTGAGGTCAAGTGCAGTCTGTTCTACATAGCAAGATCCTGTCTCAAAACTTTAAAAAAATTTTTTTTCAAAAATAATATATTCTCAGCAAGTCAAGAATAGAGTTCTGGATAGTAGTTTACAATCCTTGACATTGGTCTATTAGTCTATTGCTAATTGACCATCCATATTGACTGCCCCATAATTTTTAAGTGGAACTCCCACATTTTAGTTAACTCTATAGCTGTTCAGAGTGTACACTGTTTAGTTAAATTCTCCTTCATAGTTAGTTCTAACCAAAGGGATTATAAACATAAGCGAGCATGTGATTTCTGGATCATGGCCTTAAAAGTCCTGCAGCATGCAACAGGTATATGAAAAAAATGCTTAATATTACTATCAGACATTGCAAATCTAAACCACAATGCAGTATTACTTTATACCTATTGGAATGCTTATCCAAAAGAGGAAACAAGTGTTGGTGAGGAGGAGAAGAAAAGGCACCTTGGATGCTGTTGGTGGGAATGTAATTAGTATGGCCCTTATGCAACATTATGGAGGTTCCTCAAAAACTAAAAATAGATCCATATCTATATGACCCAACAATCCTAATACTAGGTAATTAAATCAGCATGTCAAAAAGATGTCTGTGCTGCCATGTTCTTTGCAGCATAATTTATAATAGCCAAGTTACAGAGTCAACTTAAGTGTCCATCAATGAAATAAAGAAAATGTGGCATATACACAATAGAATAGTATTCAGACATAAAAATGGAAGGAAATTTTGTCATTTAAAACAACATGGAGTTTGGCATAGTGTCACAAGCCAGTAATCCCTGCACTCAGGAGACTGAGGCAGGTAGAACACTGTAAATTCAAGATCAACCTGGACTACAAAGTGAGTTCAAGACCAGCCTGAACTGCATAGCAAAACCTTGTCTCAAAAAGACAAAAAATAGGGGGTGGGGATTTAGCTCAGCAGCATAAGCGCCTGCGTTGCAAGCACATAGTCGTGAGTTTGATCCCCAGTACCGGAAAAAAAAAAATAAATATACAAATAAAATAACATGGATTAATCTGGAAGCTATTATACTAAATAAAATAAGAAACAAAAAGTTATGAGCTATATGTGAAATCTTAAAAACTCAAACCCAAAGTTGAATGGTAGTTACCTAGAGCTAAGGACAGTGGGGAGACTGGAGAAATACTGATCAAATGATAGTGAAATTTTGATAAAGAGAAATAAGTTCAAAAGGTCTATTGTATAACATAGCCATGTATTACATACTTGAATATTGCTGAGATGTCCTTATCACAAATAAATGCATAAATAATAAAGTGTCCTTATCACAAATAAATGCATAAATAATAATACACAAATACTATGTAGATTCTTTAGTCATTCTGTAATGGATACATATTTCAAAACAATACGCTGTACACCATAAATATATTTTTTTAATTTGTCAAAAAGTGTTTTAAGTCAGTCATGGTGGCACAGGCCTATAATCTCAGCACTCAGGAGGCTCAGGAGGATCACTGAGAGTTTAGGGACAGCCTGGGCTACATAATGAGTTCAAGGCCAGTGTAAAGTACATAATGAAGCCTTGCCTCAAAAAAACAGAACCAAACAAATTGTATATATATGGTTAAAAAAAATACCCATAGCATATATTTCCCTTGCCCTGCCTCTATCCATACCGTCTCTGCAGTGTCAACAGGAATATGAGTTCTTTGACCATGTCAGACGCTGAGACAAAATTCTGTGTGTCAAGGATGACTAAGCAGCCCTACTAGGCCCTTGGCCACCCTCTTCTATTGTAATTTCAGAGACAAACTATTGTGTTTAAGCCACTGTGTTGGGGTCTCCCTTTTAAAGCAATGTAGACTGTACTAAAACTATTAGAAGCATAAACAAGCTATGAATGCAAAGGGGTTAGACTTGTTACAGAAGAGGAATTGGAAGCCTTGCCTGTTCTATATACAAGGCTCAAGGAGAAACATCTGCACAGTGCCAAAGAAAGGTTCTGGGCAAAGGTCACTGAACTTAATGAGTTGGCTATCTGACCTTGGACAAGCCACTTAAACTTTTTCTGTGAGCATTAAATTGAAAAGACTGAAGAAGCTGATCTCTCAAGGACCATAAATCTATCTTTGTGTAACTGTGAAAAGTCAAGAGGATTACAAAAAGCTTCAGATATATATCCAAAAGTCTCAGAGATACTTAGCATGTGGGTTGATAGATATACAGGGGCTCCAATAGTAGCATTCTTTCTTCTTCCATCTCTGCCTGAAAACTGGTTGCTTCTTAACTGACATCATCTCTTTTGGTTGAATCTTGCTATAAAAACAAGGAATGATAGTCAACACAAACTCACCTGTCTATCTCTAAATCATTTCCTCAGTTATAAGTTTCATAATCAGCTTTCCAACTTTTCCCAACATCTGAGATGACATTTTCCCCAAAATACCTGAGAATGTCTATCAACTAATGTCATATACAGTACATCTTAGATCTCTGTTACTGTGGCACATCATTTCAAGGACAACTTTGTCTTTGGGCACAGAAAGCTATGTAGAGACTAAAAAAGCCAAAAACCAAAAACCAAAAAATTACAGTAGCTATCATAAGATAATTATTTCTCATCTAAGCCCAGAAGTATTCTCTGCATCAAAAGCTAATTCAGGACCAGGTTTGTTCTGTATTATTGCTCAGCTGTGCCCTATGGATTGCTCTTGTTCTCACGGTTTAAAGTGGCTTACCACCAGCTGACACCAGCCTGTGCGAACGAAAAAAAGGAGTAAACAGAGAGCAGACATACTTTAAACATCACCCTACCTCTTATTTTTCAACCCCTACCCAGGGAACACTGAGCTACATTCCCAGCCCTTTATTTTTAATTTTTTTTAAATCTATTTATTTTTGAAACAGGGTCTCAATAAATTGCCCAGATTGGGCTCCACTTTGCAATCCTCCTGCTCCAGCCTCTGGAGTACCTGGAACTGCAGGCGAGCGCCACCACAACGTAACTTTAGTAACATATAACTTGCCAAACTTCAATGTCTTTATGGAACATAAAGGTCACAGGTGGCATATACACCTGTAATCCGTCACTCGGAGGCTCAGGCCAGAGAATCACCAATTCAAGCTACCCCGAGAAACTTAGCTCAGATTTTTTAAAAGGGTAACTCATGCTTGAGACCCTGGGTTCAATCCTCAGACCAACAAAGTCAAGGATGGAAGGAACGAAAACTGACTTTCTGTGTGATCTCATCGTAATTATTCATTTCGATAGTCTTTACTTTTTTCTGTCCTTTCTAAATTTAATTTTGTTTCTCAAGATAGACACATACCAAGTAAAACCTTGAGATATGAGCACGTAGCATTTACAATACTGAACGTAACGCACTTTACTAGATTCCCACTTGGTAGTATTCACAGTAACACATACTTGCGGACGCTATTAATGTAGAAAACCGCATCTGGAATTCTGTTATATATTTTTAAGAGTCACCTTCTGGTATACACAATGTTTCACACAACGTGCTTTGGGCACCCCTCGGATCATATAAATTTCCGTTCTCCCTAAACAGATACACCAAAAGGGCCTGCGCCGTGAGCTACTTCATCTGTTTTAACTCAAGCTCCTTTATCTCTCAGATATTCTCCTTTCTTCGGGATTTAGTTGGCCACCTAAAACCGGGCTCCGGTGCTCTGGTTGCTAAGAGACAGGACGCCAGGAGGGTGGGGACGCTGCACTGCGACAAGCCTGAGAGTCAGAAGGGAAAGGGACCTCGAAAACCCAGCAGCCGCCGGCTTGGGCCGCGCGTCGGGCTCCCTCCCGCCCCGCCGGAGCTCGCTGCTCATTGGCTCCGCTGCCATAGTGCTGGCTAGCGATTGGCCGGATGGCATCGGCTCGGCGCTTTAACCCGCCCCCAGCCCCTGGAGCTGGTGCCGGGCCACCGCCTTAGAGCGGTCGCCGGGGTGGGCGGCGCGTGCGGGTACCGCGCGGGGTTGCGGGTTGTGTCTCGCGGGCTCCTTGGCAAGACAGCGGGCGGGCGCTGGCTGCTGCTCGTGACAGAGGCGCAGGGAAGGCCTCTTTGGCCCTTTGGAGGTGAGCGAGACGCCGTAAGACTGGCGCCGACTGGGAAACGAGAAATGGGGCGAGAGGCGGTACCGCTCGCCGCCCGCCGTCCCGCCGCTGTCCCCACCCCCACTCGGGGTACCTGGGGCGGGGCTCCGGCTGCCGAACGCCCCCCGGCGCGGCCGCCTGCTCTCCGAGCCTGAGGCGGCTAGCGTCCGCTCTCCTACTGAGGAGATCCGTGGTATCCCGCTTCCGTCCTGCCTAGCCCTTGCCGGGACGCCTTTGTGTCGCCCCTCACTGGCCCCGCGCCCCGAGACTTTCTGCGCCTACCAGACGCAGAGGGAGCGGCGAGGGAGCCGCAAAGGTCCGGGGTGCTCGCAGGGCGCGCCGCGCAGGAGCCTCCGGGCCAGGGTTTGAAAGGCTTTGACCTCCACATTCTGGCCCTGGGTATGGTTTTACTTTATGCAGGACCGAAGCCTGCCACCTCTCTTGTGTGTGGTCAGGGGTCTGGAAGTCTGGGTCCGGGGTGACTCAGTGTTAAGCTACTGCCAGAGAGGCCTTCGACCTTACCCCCATCCTTGCCACTACCTGGGCAAAATAATAAAAGTCTAGCGGTTCTGTGTGCACAAAGAAAAAATTCGGATAGAGGATTCAGATCCTCTATTTGGTGGGAAGTTACAGAGGTTGTGGTAGTAATAAATGTACAAAAGCTGAGATACGGGAATAAGGGGGGAGCAAGAGGTGTGTTCTTTAGAAGTATAATCTATTAAATAGGGTATTTAAAAATTTTTATTAGTACATGTTTGCAGTACGGTGCATGTACATAACATCCCTTTCCTCTCCTCTCCCTTCATCTTTTGGTGCTCTTCCCTTTTGCAAAATACTTTTCCTTTTATTAACATTTATTTTTGGTTTCAAAATTACTTCCCCCCACCCACCCATGCTGAGGATAGAACCCAGGACCTCACGCATGCTAGGCAGGCTTTCTGCCACTGTACCTCCAGCCCAAATTGTTGGGGGTTTTTGTTTTTGTTTTTGCCTTTTCTTTGTCTTTTTGAGACAGCATCTCACTATGCAGTTCAGGCTGGACTTGAGGTCACTTTGTAGTAGCCAGGCTGGCCTCACACTCACAGCAATCCTCCTACCTCTGCTTCCTGAGTGTTGGGATTATAAACGCACCCCACCATATCCAAATTGTTTTCACATCTAGATTATTCAAATTATTCTTAAACGGGTATAGCATGAACGAGTATGATTTGAAATGTATATGTAAGTTTTTAAGTGTTCGATATGGACAGTGTTTTAGAATTTTAATAGAATGTTTCTTTAAAAAAGACATAACACCCAAACAAGTTCCTTACCCTGAAATCTGTTCTAGACTGCTTTGTGCTGAGGTTCAAACAAATTACAATGAAGCAGTCCAGCCCCTGCTCCACAAACCGTGTGGAATGAGAAATGATGCATGTACTATGTATGTAATGGAGAGCAGTGACTTTTTTTCTTTTCTTTTTTTTTTTTTACTAGTGAGAAACCAGCTCCTACTTTCAAGAATGTTCATTTAAGGGTCAGGAATATAGCCCAATGGCATAAGTGCCTGCCTGGCCAGCAAAAGGTCCTAAATTTGATTCCCAGTACAAAAAAAAAAAAAGTGCATTCAAAATTGTTGGTTAATTTGGTAGGACAGGATTCCCACTTATTTTTGTACTGTGTAAATACTTGTTTAAATGAGTTATGGATCTTCAGTTTGGAGAGGATTGAAAAACATAGTCTCTCTTAAGCTTTGTGACTTATTAATTTAGCAAACATTTTTGGCAATACATGTGTGATTTTCTAGAAATCATAAACACTAGTCCCTGTGCATAAGAGAAACTGTAGTCCTGTGGGCTGAAGGGAAAAATAAGCAAATTTCTCAGGTCTTTTCCAACATTCTTCCAAGCCTTCTTTCCAGAAATTTTCATAAAATTCAGCCAAGGATATATGAAAGGACATTACTTTTGGATTCATTCAATTCACCTGACTTTGTGATAGCCAACTTTTTTTAAAAATTAAGTTTATTTTTGCATTTTAGGTGTACATAATGATCACATTCATCAGAGGGTGCAATGACCAACTTTAAAAAAGAATGAAGTTCTGTTTCTACTTGATACAGTTACAGTTATTAAACTGATTACTGGGAATTTTTTATGTCAGTAATGAGCAAAGTACAAAAGGAGAAGTAATAGTAATAATAAATTGTTGCACATGTTGCATGTCAGAGTATGATAGGTCTTTCTAGTATTATTTAGCTCTCATAATACTACTAAACATAGGTATTTTCCTTATAGCTGAGACACTTGAAGCCCCAGGTTGTCTTACTAGAGTGTTAAAGCTAGGTTAGTAACTATAACTCATTCTATTCAATTAGCAGCTTACTTCATTGAGTTATTAGTATCTTTTTATCTATCATAGTATGTTTTTTCCTTTGTGTGTGTAGGCGTGTGCATGTGTGGGCACACAGGATTAAACCCAGGGCTTTCACAGGGAGCTACATCCTCAGCATTTTTGTTTTGTTTTGTTTTGTCTTTTTCGTTTTTACCGGTACCAGGGATCGAACTCACGACTGCCTGCTTGCAAGGCAGGCACTTAAGCCGCTGAGCTAAATCCCCAGCCCCTTGTTTTGTTTTTTGAGAGACTCTTGCTAAGTTGCCCAGGCTGGACTCCAACTTGCATTTCTGTACCACCTGATTTATAATGCTAATCTTAATAAATCTGCTTAATCCAAGAGCTCAGTAATGCTAATGCTTTGACTACAATCATTATGTATTCCCCTCTGTGTGCCAGGTAATACTTGCTATCCAAAGTATCCTCAAAAGTATGTGAACTAGCCCCTATTTTTACCTTTGTTTTACAGAAGAGAAAATTGAAGCACAGATAAAATCCGAACTAGGTAATACCTTAAAAAGTAAGACTGGATGCAACCTTAGACAGTCTGCCTCTGGACCTACACACACAACTCCTACAGTGCACTGACCTTTCAATAAGGTATGTCCCTGGGTGATAAGCTATGATTTTAGAGTGCTTAATATCTTTCTATGTCTTTTTTAATGTTCATACAAACACAGAGGATAACTATAATGTCTGCCACCTGATATGCTACATCATAGTCTTATGCAAATGATTACACAGTAGTAATTATTGTTGTATTGAGAGAGGACAAATATTCCAATCCCTGAGCAGTGTTTTAAACATCTCAGTCCTCAGCACTACCCTAGAAAATAGTTAATGTTTTTGTACACTGCATCTCCTTTGAGAGGTACTTTCAGTGTTTTCAGATTGATTTTATAAAGTAATTCCTTTGATTCTCTCCATGCTGTCAGTCAGAGGTAGTTTCATCACCTTTTATTCCTGCATCCACAAGGACGGCTAACTTACCTTGATGGTTAGAATATAATGGTGCTGCTGCACGTGGCCCGTGACCTTGATGGCCGGCAGGGGCTGGATTTTGGCGAACGTCATCATGGTCGTGGGCAGTTGGATCTCTTTGGGGATCAGATGATAGCTCAGACAAAATATTTTGTCCTGTTTCTCCATGTCTCATTGTAACACCATGAGTCTTCATGAGTGACAGGAATTCAACAATATGCCCAGCATAAAGAGATTATTTGGAAAAACTGCTGTTTGAATTAAACTGAATTGAACCAAGGTTGAAATAAGGATTCCTTACCTATTTTATAAAATTTCACTTGATAGCAGTTCAAATATTATTGAAGATTTCTATGTAAGATCAAAAAAAAAAAAAACAGAAAAGAAAAGAAAAATAAAAAGCAAAACTAATCAGCTGGGAGGTCCAAACAAATCAAGGAATTGAAGTGCAGTAATGACCCAGGGAGAAAGTTTTAAGTCCTAAAACTCATGTGAAAGATTTCTCAGGTATACTTTGAGGAAACAACCATCCTTAATCACTTAAAATAAAGGAACCCAGGCTCTAAGTTGTCCTCGGTTCCTGTGTTTGTGCCTTTTTTCATTTCAGTTTGTTCAGCAGTCATCTTTCATTCAATATGACAGCGCAGCTGGAGGATTTAAAGTCATGCTGAGACTGTGAAGGCTGATAACGGGAGGCTGCAAATCCCGCGCCTTTAAATCAGCAAACTGACCCGTGGACCCAACAGGAAAAGCTGTGTTGGCTTTTGGTGACTGCTAGAAACTGAGACCTGGGACCCTGAGAAGCAGCCAGGACTGCCCCGCTGCACCAGAAGAGATTGTGAAAGGTTCTGGAGCTCCGAAGCCGAACGCTGTGCAGTTTTCTGACCATTCCACGCTGTGCCGAGACCGCAGGGAGGGCGAGAGGCGTGGTGTGCAGTAGACCCAAGAGGAGGACCTGCACCGAACCCTGATGAGTACTGGAGACCCCGCGGCTGCTGGGGTTGGCCAGAGAACATCTTGGAACTGGGCAGTGCCCGCCACCACGGGGACATCAATAACACAGAGAGTCTGGCGGCAGACATCTTAGAGTTGGGCAGAACCTATAGCTCGGTGACATTACCAAGTCCCCCTGTAGGGAGGGCTGGTGGAGGACGTCTTGAAATTGGGCAGAGCCTGACGCTGTGCTGGCTTCAGCGTCATACAGAGAACTAGTGGAAGACATCTTGGATTTGGACAGACCTGTTGTCCTGGTGCTCCTATCACAGAGAGGTCTGGAAGAGAACAGCTGGGATTTGGGCAGAACCCTGTGCCATAGTGACATTAGTCAGCTGCTTCTGGTACAGAGAGAACTGGCAGGAGCTACTGGGGCTAAACCAAGCCTCTGCTTGGGGCCCAATAAGCAGATACAAAATAGTCACAACTCAGTGACATCCAGAAAGTACAGCCTTATTTACAGATTGACTGGCACAGAGGCTGGAGGCTAGCCTGTACCACCCCTGCATCCCAGCCTACCCCAGATAACAGCAAATTGGGGAGGACAGCAAAAACTCAAGTCAGCACGCTTCTGAAAGGCCCTAAGCAATACGGAGAGGGCCAGAGGCCGCCAGGACACTCCAGTCTGAAAGAAACCAGAAACATGACAAGAGATAAAAATTTTAAAAAAAATCTCCAGCTGCCCAACATGAGAAAATAAGCCCAGGAGAAGTAAACACTGAAGAGAACAAGCACAGTAACCATCCAATACTGGACACAGCTTCAGTCAAAATTAAAAAATACCTTCATGACCTCATAGATGAATTTAAAGCTGTACTCCTGATCCAAATGAGGCAAGATATAAAGAGATTAATTAAAGAAATGACAAGTCCCACCCAAGAGAACACAGATGGAAGAACTGAGGAAATCAGAAAAGAAAGAGAAACTTCTGAAGAAGAATTTAAACATAACTTAGAATACATGAAACAGATCCAAAGAGAATACCAGGAAACTAAAAACTCCATTGAACACTGGCAAAATGCCTTGACAGAAACTAAAGACAGCCTTCTGAAACTTGAAGAGAGATTTATGGCATATGATTGTGAAAGAAAAAGCCTCTTAAAAATAACAAGGAACCAGAAAGAAACAATTCAAAGACTACAAGATGACAAAAAGATACATAACTTAAGAATAAAGAATGTGAGTGAGGAAGCAGGAGCAACCAAAAATGAAATACAAAGAATATTCACAGATATATTAAAGCAAAATTTCCCATGTATAGCAAAAAGAAATGCTATCCAGATAAAAGAGGCATACAGAACACCAGCTACCTACAACCAAAACAGATCTATGCCTAGACATATGATAATCAAGATTCCAGAAATCCACCAAAAGAACAGAATATTAAAAGCAGCCAGAGAAAAGATGCAGATTACCTACAATGGGAAAATTATCAAAATAACAGCAGACTTATCAACACAAACTCTTAAGTCAAGAAGGGAGTGGGGAGGAATATTCCAAGTCCTGAAAGAAAATAATATGCAACCAAAGCTCATATACCCATCAAAACTCTCTCTCAAAATTAATGGAGAAATAAGATGCTTCCAAGACAAGGAGGAACTGTGGGAGTTCGTGGCCACCAATCCAACCCTACAGAGAGTGCTGAAGGACATTCCAGAGAAAGAGAGGAAGGGATACCAGGATTCCAGCAACAGTGGCAGAGAGGCCTCAGTGAACGGGGCAGACAGTGGAATGAGGGAGTAAGGTGGACAAATTATAGCAGAAAAGTGGAGTAGCAGACATGAGGCAGAGACGGTAAGCTATAGTCTTTAGTATAGACAGCTCTGAAACACTATAAAAAGAAAAGGCAGAGGTCATTGTTAATGGTGTAGAAGGATTTAAAAGACACAGTAGTCTTATCGCCATATTTAGTTTGAATTTAATTTGTTCTGGTCTGTCCACTCATGTCAGAGTTGAGGGCACAGACACCTTGACCCAAAAATAGCAGGTTATACCATGGTAACTATCCTTACTTTCCTATTAACTTAAACTGAAATCCTGTAATACTTACATTATCTTACTATGACTGATCTTAATTGAATCTGAATCATAAGACTTATGGGTTGGCCTTGGCTGATTTTATTTGAATTTGGTATGCTTGTTAGTATCAACCCTAAAAGTAGAGGCAACTACTCTGAAGATGACAAGATGTAAAGGATATCCATACTGGTATTAACTATTTTTTTTGTTTGTTTGTTTGTTTTTTGTCTTTTTCCTTTTTATCGGTACCAGGGATCGAACTCACAACTGCCTGCTTGCAAGGCAGGCGCTTATGCCGCTGAGCTAAATCTCCAGCCCCATACTGGTATTAACTATTAACAGCTCTCAAATCCTACAATGCTTTCAAAGTTGAGTTTTTATAAAAATAGGTAATACTATGTTTAACTATATTAAGCCGGTGTTGTGGACAAATCTATTGAAAATAACAAGAGAAAACATAGTAACTATGGAAGATCATCTATATTGTGGTCTTATATGTCTTATCCATTGCATGTTTTTCTAGGAAATTGTTTTGCTGTCTTGCTACGACTTGGTTTTCCCTATAATACAGAGAGGATAGATATATATGTAGAAATTCACACGAGTTTTTTTTTTTAATAATTTACGGGAACAGATTATATAATGCAAGATGTAATGAACAGATACTCTGAAGAAGAGACGCTAAGAAACCCAATGCTAACTCTGTAGCATTATGATATAAATTCTAGCAATAGTATTGTTCGCTGATTAGAGTGACGTTAGACTGGTTTCTTGAGTTCAGTTTTTCAGCATATGTAGAGAGGGGGATGGCTATCAATCACAAAGAGAATGAGAGATGCGATGGTGGTTATTGTTGTCTTCCCTAATGTTAGATCTTGAGGACCTAAGGAGCCTTCATCATCATCCTATGATGATTTGATTAGTTCTATAATATGCAATAAGTATATAAAGTGGGTGAAGATGGGGACAACTATTTGTAGGAGGCTAGAGACAGTTAGATGGATGGTGAGGATCTCCAGTGGACTTGCTTTGAAATCTGTAATTCTTTAAATTGTTTTTTTTTTAACTGTTTTGTTCTGTTTTGATATGTTTAATCTTACCCTCTTTGAGATGTAAAGCAAGTGTGTAGGACTGATAACCATATTACTGAGCTTTTGTTCGATCATTGAGCAGAACTGTTTGTAGTGTCACTTTTTGAATGTCATTCTAAATGCTTTGATTCTGTTACCTGAACAGCTATTTCTGGGATGACAATGTGTAACTTGTCAACTGGCGATTTCTTACCGTTTGTTTTTCTGTAATTTTATATTATTTCTACCCCTTTTTTTTTATCTCCATGTATTTTTTTGTTTCCTTTTCTTTAAATTAAAAAAATATATATATATACACATATATATATATATATATATATATATATATATATATATATATAATGGTGCTGAAATGCATACCAGAGCTTTAGACTCCTGTGTAGTAGAGGTTAACACTACTTTTCCCCTCACCATATTTGTCTATAAGGGCATCTTTGTGTTTCTTTTCCTAAAATAGGCCATGTTTTCCCATTTGAATAGCTTACATTTAGAGATTTTGTCCTCAACTAAGAATTCAATATTAGTAAAATCATTGATACAACCAACCAAAGACATTTGTTCTTACTTTCATCTGTAAATTTATGTTCCAACTTCAGATACAGTACCTGGGACATAGTGGGGACTTAGTAAATGTTTGAATCGAATAAGTGTCTTTAAGTACACTGATTATGAAAACAGTTTCCTAAAATACTTCAAAGTTTCTTTTGTTTTGTTTTTTTTGAAAGAAGTACTCACAATGTAGTTTAGACTGGTCCTGAACTCACTGTGTAGCCCAGGCTGGCCTCAAACTTACGACAGTTCTCCTGCCCCAGGTCCCAAGTGCTGGGATAACAGGCATGTGCCACCATGTCCAGATGCAGTGTTTTAAGTTTCAGTAGGTAGCTTCTTTTTCTGTGTGAGGCCATAGCCTTTTCCCTTCCCTGTGTCACACGCAGGAGCTCTCAGAGTCTTTCACTGAAACTTAGCTTCCTTCCCAATCTGTGCGGTCCTGCTCCCCAGTCATTACTCTGACCATTTCCTCCCCCATAGAAACCCCTCTCATAGAATGGAAACCATACGGGTTCGAGAGTCCTTTTTTATTTGAGTTTTTGGTTTTTTAGCTCCATGAGCTAGTACAAATTACTTACTTTTGCTGAACCAGCTTCTTCATGTTTAAAATGAGAATAGCACCAATTTTATGGGACTGTGTTAAGGATTTATTGAAATAACATGTAAAGAGCAGAGATTAGCTCCTAATAGATACTCAGTAAGTCACAGCTGCTCCATTTCCTCTTCTGCCCTCCCTTGCCTGCCGTCTGCTTTGGCTCTTGGGTCAGATAGTATTATGTTTAAATTACCTATTTTTCTGCAAGGTCTTCCTTAAATATAGGACACATATCACGGTCACAGTAAGTTTTGTGTCCCTAGTGTATGGTACACAGCTGGGCTCCCGCTCTTGGTTGAACTGTGTGTTTAAAACCACCCAAATCCCCTTTGTGTGCATTATTTTGTAGCCTGCTGGGTTGCCACCCTTGAGTAAGATGAGGAGCATGACTATGTTATTCAGAAGACTGAATTAAACTGGGGTTGTGATGAAGGAGAGCATGGTGGGGCACCAAGCCTCCATTCTGAGGACTGGGTGTATTTGTGCAGTGCCTTGGCCTTTTGTGTATGTCACGGTACATGTTTGTGTGTAAAAGCATTAATCCTTCTCAGGCCAGTTGTCATATTGTTTCTGAAGAGAAGAACTTGCAAGAAAAAGTTCTTTCAGATATATAAACATGCTAAGCATGGTGGCACATGCCTATAATCCCAGCACTCAGAAAACTGAGGCAGAGACCGCTGTGAATTCAAGGCCAGCATAGGCTACATAATGAATTGAAGGCCAGCCTTAATTGCAAAGAGAGCTTGTCTCAAGAAAAAAAAAAAAAAGCAGGAGAACATACAGTAATTGCATTGTATGATATATTCTCACTTATAACTAATAACCACAGCACACTATAACTCTTAGCCTAAATTGTCAGATTAACTTTAAGTCTCATATATTTAGTCAATAAAAAGTTAGTGTGCTTAGCCCTCATTAATCATGGCATGAACATTACTCATAGGAAAAATAAAGGGAATATTGCTTAGGAAGAGAATGAAATTATAATTCTTTTAACAGCAATGTATGGGCACTTTCACAGTTTATTTACACCATTTATAAATTGCTAGTCAGTATATAAATCACACATGTGAGATTTTTTGCAGGGAAGGGATCAGGAATTGAACTCAGGACCTCATACTTGCCAAGCAGACACTGTGCCACAGAGCTAAATCCCCAACCCCAAGGTTTTTTTTCTAGGAAAATAAATTCACTTCTCTTAACATTTTATTACAATTTTTTTTTTTTTAAGACAGGGTCTCACTTTGTAGTGCAGGGTGGCCTTGAACTCACTGTGTGGCCCAGACTGGCCTCAAACTTGAGGCATTCCTACTGCCTTGAGTGCTGGGATTATAGGCATGCATCACCATGCCCAGCATTGTAAAAAATTTTGAACATATGGCAAAGTAAAAAGTTTAGGGGCTAGGGATTTAGCTCAGTGGCATAAGCGCTTGCCTTGCAAGCACATAGGTATGGGTTCGATCTCTGGTACCAAAAAAAAAATTTCAACATCTGTGTACCTACCACCTAGATCCTGCCATTAATACTTTATTACTTTTATTTTAAAGAGGAAAAAAACCAAGCAAAATAAAATAAAGCCAATCAAAATGAACCAGTATAAGAGATACAGGATATCAAAACAAGATAAAAGGAAATCAACAATGGTTATCATAATGCCTCTTGTCTTCAAAATAGCTGCCCATACCTTCAGACATAATAAAAATCAAACAGAACAGAGTAAAAAAAAAATGACACAATGAAGGATTTCAAAACAAGATAATAGTAAATCCAAGATAGCTACCATAATATAGCTTGTTATCTTTAAAATAACTACCTATGCTGCTGGATATAATGAAATCAAGCAAGAAAAACGGAATAAAACTCATCCCAACAAAATAATGAAAACGGTACAAGACTTCCAAACAAGACAATAGGGAATTAACAATTGCTGCCACCTTCAGATGGAGAATCCCCATAGAAGCCACACTGCGTATTGTTATCCTCTAAATAAATGAGCAGACTACCAGCTTTAGACCTGCAAAGTCAGTGAAATACTAAACACTACAAGCATTAAATTGTATTTTACCTCAATAACTATCATTGCAGCCTGTGTTTCTCCAGACCAGTATGGTGAGGGGCAGAGCTGGCTCTTGTCTCCCAGCCTGTGTGCCAGAAGGAAGTGGGGTCTTGTCATACCCTCAGAGGCTCGTGCATGGTGCCAACTCACAGAGAGGGCTTGCTTCTTGTTGACTTCTTGTTCTCTCCTCCCACAGTCTGCAAATGGCTTACTTTATTACTTTATTATACTTTTAATAACTATCAAATAAAATATTTAGAATATAAGTATACTTTTATATTTGAAGAGTTTGGCCTGAATGTTCTTATTTTAAAGCAATTTTATTTTTTCTTTATATAGTATCATGTAATTTTTTGGCATAAATTAATCTGTTATGCTCTGAAAACATTTGGATTTCAGATGTAAATAAAGCTGTGTTTTCCTCTCTACCCCTAGTTCAAAAGATGAGTCGTGGATATTCAGAAAACAACAATTTCCTGAACAATAACAATCAAATGGTACTCGACATGATCCTTTATCCATTAATTGGAATCCCTCAGACCATCAACTGGGAAAGCATTGCAAGACTTGTGCCTGGATTAACACCCAAAGAGGTAAATAACAGTCCCTCAGTTATTTTCTGAAAAACAAAAAATAGAAAAAGTGATCAATTTAAAGAAGCAACAGACTGGGTATAGTGACACACAACTGTAATCCCAGCACTCAGGAGGCTGAGGCAGGAAGTTCACTACAAGTTTGAGGCCAGCCTGGGCTACATAATGAGTTCAAGGCCAGCCTGAACTAGAGAATGAGACCCCTCCTGAGTGCTGGGGTTACAGGCGTGTGCCACTATGCCCAGCTGGCTTTTTTTTCAATTTTGAAAAAGTAGACTTTAGACCAAGATACATTAATGTGACAAAATTCACAAATTCAAAATAGAGATATATTAATTTAAAATATCCCTAATCTGAGTAAGACAACCATAATATTTATAAAGCAGAAATTAGGCTAAAAAATTAAAAGAAATTAAGTCTCAATAATAAGAATATTAACATAGTACTCAGTACAAGATTTATCAAGTACAAAATATGAATTATGAAATAATGTATCCATGTTTTGTATATATACCTCAAATTTATCTTCAAATACACATTGCAATATTACAACAGCTGGCTTTTTTTTTAGTTTTATTTTTGAACAGAAAAAACTGGCAAATTCATCTGCTTTTCCAATTTTTCATTATGAATGCTTTCAAATCTACAGAAAAGTTTAAAGAGTAGCACAGTCCTATAACATGTATTCAGCAATTCTTATTTGCTTGATATCTTCATATATGATTTATTTCTATGACATATAAATGTAATTTTCATGCACATGATGGTTTATCCCTATAGACTGCAGAATGCATCTCCTTAAAATAAGGATATTATTACATAATTGCAGTACATTATCAAACCTAAGAAAATTGACAATAAAGCATCATTCCTTTAATACAGTATTCATTGTATCTTCAGAATCATCTATTTAGAAGTTTTTTACAAAATGAAAATATAAGCCATACATTGTGGCATATACCTGTAATTCCAGCACTCTGACTGACTGAGGCAGAAAGATTGCAAGTTCAAGTACAGTCTGGGCAATTCAGTGCCTTAGCAAGACCCTATCTCAAAAAGGACTAAGAATGTGGTTTGGGGTGAAAGGCCCCAGTTGAGGACTGGTTTAGTCCCCAATCTGGGGTTGGGGGTAAAATACAACTAAACATGAGAGTATTTATAGATAATGGTAATATTTTAATACTTATTTACAAAACATATCTTAAGGAATACATACGTAGAAAGTAAAACATCAGAATTGTAGTCAGAATTATAAATCTGACCTTTCCTAACACAAGCTATTGACACTTGTGTGTATCCTTCCATACTGTTTTCTGTTCCTAGGACATTGAACTCAGGGCCTCATGCATACCACTGAGCCACATCCCCAGTTCCCTGTGCTAATTCTTACAGAGAACGTACAACAAATACTGTGTACTGTTTTGCTACTTGCTTTATTCACTTAGCATATTACGAATATCTTTGTATGCCAGTCAGTAGACTTTGTAACATTTATGACAGATTATTTGACCCATAACATAATTATATATCCAGTCCCTTTTCTTCAGATATTTAGGCCATTTTTTCCAAATTTTATCTACTATACTATTGCTGTAACAAATACCTTATATCATTTTGTTAGAGGATGGTCACAGAAGCAGACTTCCTGGGTTAGAGGGCACATGCATTTTCACAGTCTGTGTTGCACGTTGTCACATTGCCCACTAGTAAGTCATCCATGTTTATACCTTACTTAACCTAGCTGAGTGCCTGATCCTTGCATTTTGTGTATCAAACATTGTTTGTGTATATATATATATATATACACACACACACACATATATATGTGTGTATGTTTAATTTTAATGTTATTTTATTGTGGGTTTTTGTTTTGTTTTGAGATAAGGTCTTGCTATGTTTCCCATTCTGGCCTCGAGCTCTTGGGCTCAAGTGATAGTCCTACCTCAGCCTCCTACATAGCTGGTATTACAGGTGCACATCATTATGGCTGGTTCTCACTATAGTTTTACTTTTCATTAGGTCCTAGAGAAGTTGAAATTTTGCATTTTATTTCATATTATTTTCTGTATGCAAATTTATTTTGTTAGAGTTTAAGTTTTCTGTGTGCTAAGTATATTAACTTTTTAAAAATTTTTTATACGTACATTAACTCTTTTTTTTTTCATTTTCTTTTTTGTCTTTTTCGTTTTTATCGGTACCAGGGATCGAACTCACGACTGCCTGCTTGCAAGGCAGGCACTTATGCCGCTGAGCTAAATCCCCAGCCCCTGTGCTAGTCTCTTATACGCGAATATTTAAAACTCTTAACATCTATGAATATTTCACTTTTTCATATCTTTATTTACTATCCTGTTGTGAAAATTCTTGTCACTTTGAAGTTACGATGATACATATTTATCTACATTCTCCTGGTCACTTTCCTTTTTCCTATTTAAATCTTGACTCCATCTGTAGTTTAGTTTAAACTGGGTTTTCTTTTCCTAATGACTAGCTATCCCAATGTTTATTGAATATTTTATTTTTATTATTGATTTGAAATTCTTCAATCTGTTTATGGATCTGGTATTGTAATGTATTGATCTCTTTCTTCTAATAACCCCTTTGACGCTTTCACATTGACTTATTATTTCAACATTGCTTTAATACCTACTAGACAAAAAACCTCTGTGTTACCTTTAAGTTTCTTGAATGTTAATTTCCTGGATTTTTTTTTCTACCTCAAAGACTGGATATTTTGAAAGTAGAGGGAAGATGAATTACTTCAAATATTTGGACATTTTGATGTCTTTTATTAATTATTGAGCAGTAAGCATTTTTATATACTCTGGACGAAAGTCCTTTTTAAAAATATTTACTTTTTGAAAGACTAAATCTTAGGTTATTAAGTATTTCTTAATATTTAATAATCATGTTAACAGTCATTATTTAAAGAATGCTGGCCAGGCTTAGTGGCACATGCTTGTAATCCCAGCGCTCGGAAGACTAAGACAGGAGGATCGTTGCAAGTTCAAGACCAGCCTGGGCTACAAAGTGAGCTCAAGGTCAGCCTAAACTGCATAGTGAGACCCTGTCTCAAAAAGACAAAAAAAAGGGGCTGGGGATTTAGCTCAGCAGCATAAGCACCTGCCTTGCAAAGAGGCAGTCGTGAGTTCGATCCCTGGTACCAATAAAAACGAAAAAGACCAAAAAAGACAAAAAAAAAAAAAAAAAGAATGCTGACTATATAGTAGGTAGCTGATAAATGAATGAGTTGCATTTTCCTGATTGGTAGTCATGTATATTCATATATATAGTTTTTTATGCCACAGATTATTTATCTGTTTTGTAATATACCATCCACAGTCATGTTGATGATTTTAAAATGGATGCTATAGCAGTGTTTGATGATGACCCGCACTAGGGAAGGCATTTTATATTGTGACCTAGAAACAAGATTTTCATAAAGGGGTACTTAACCTTACTATGTTTAATATACTCTTGGTAATTTCTAATCTAGTATACTATTTATTTCCCTTTTTTTTGTACTAGCAATCGAACTCTCAACCTCACACTTGCCAGACAGGCAGTTGGAACTGCTCAGCTAAATTCTTGGCCCTTTATTTCTTTTTCGTAATTGCTAAGCTGGACCTTCTAAATTGATAATGAGCAACTAATGGGTTTTGTAAAACACTGCTAGAGGAAAGTCTGCTCAAGTACATGACATAGTATCACCATAGGATGTTTTGTGTCAGGTGAATCTGTCAGTAAAAATGAAGATTTCATTATCTTTTTTTGTTGTTTTTTTCACGACCTTGCACTTGCCAGGCAGGCTCTTATTCCACTGAACCAAAACTCTGGCAGATTTCATTATCTTAATTTTTTAAAATGTAGTGTTATTAATTTGATGCTTTTGGGTTTCCTTTCCATTAAAGGTAGACTTCAATGTTACTCCTTGTGAAAACCTGATTAATATAGGAATAAAAGCCAAATGTTTAAATTGTTAATATTGTCACTTGATAATAGATGTATACCAAAGGGAAATGTGGTTAGTAAAGACAGTCCTCATTTTTCTGCAGGAGCATAAACACAGTATACCTTTGGGTTAAAGAATATTTTAAAAAAAGAATTCTACCACGAATTTTAAAGAAGAAAAAGTAAGTCACAGGCTTTTGTGTGTTGAAACAAGTACACATTTTGTAGACGTTACCACATATTAATCTTTATTAATCTTAAGAAAAACGATTATAGAAAAGTATCTGAACAAAGGGCCAGAAAACATCTTGGATTTTTAATTTAACCACCCTTTGTTTTGTTTTATGTTGTAACAGTGTGCAAAAAGATTTGATGAACTGAAGAGCAGTGGAAGCTCACCTGTTGACAATCAGTATAATCCCCTGATGGCTGCTGGCGAGAGTCCTGTTGAAACTCTAGCCACATACATCAAATCTTCACTTCTTGATACACAGGGAGATTTTCAGGAGACTCCAGTTGGTCAGGAGGCAGTTTCCAAAACAGGTATGGTTTTAAAATAAAATTTACAGTGTGTCCTTATAATTCTGCATAAATTTACATGTTCTAGTCAACTTTTCTTTCTGTGTTTACAGGCTTATAAAAACATTAAAATAAGGTCTGTTCATATTTTGTACCTTCCTGAATTTCAAAAATTGTAACTGTCAACCATAGTGGCACATGCCTGTAATCCCAGCACTAAGGAGGCTGACAGGAGGATCGCTGCAAGTTCAAGGCCAGCCTGAACTGCACAGGAAGACCCTGTCACACACACACAAAAATTATAACTGATGTTACTATTTTTTAAAACCATTTTAGAGTGTTAATTTTTAGGTTAAACACTATTTCCAAAACAAAATCCTAACCTTACCAAAATTTTCAACTCTGGTCCATTGGCATATTTATTTCATATATTGTTTGTTATTTGTTATAAATATTTATTAATTTTATTATATTATAAAGGAAATTTTACCTAACTGTATACTATTTTACTTTGTTTTTATTTGCTTTTTGGACTGAGAAAACCTTACTTGTCTCTCATATAATCTTTTTTGCAGCAACTTTTTACTACAGTTAACAGTGGCAAGGTAGAATAAATGTTTTCTGCAATTATATTGGGAATAACTGGTTTTAGAATCCTTGGAGTCTACTGAGTTAATTTAATCTCATCAGTAGCAGTCAGAGTATTAATGTAAAACTGCTTATGTTGTTGGATTTTGAACATTTAGCTCTTACTGATACATACCATGTCAGTATTTTTGAAATGTCCATTGCAATGTGTGATTTTTTTTTTTGTAGTCGTAGTTTCTTCTATGTGACTTTTAAGATATTTGTATTAAAATGAGAAATGCCACATAAATACTCTCTTTAGCTAGCCTTGGGAACCATGCCACTTACCTAACTGCATTCAGTAAGTAAAAACCCTTTCTCAGCAAGAAATACTAACCCTCCACCTCTTTTTTTCATTGTATGTGTATATTTCTATATTTAAGGAAGACACAGTATAGCTTCCTCAAGGAATTGTTCTTCAGAAAGTGAAAATTGTACTACTCATAATGATGGAGAAAAGACTGAAGAATCTGAAGGGTAGGAGGCTGATTGTTTGTTAGATAAGATTTAATATCAACTTATAAAATATTCATGTTTATATGAATTACATTAAATTATAAAATATTCATGTTTATATGCATCAGTTAACATAATTTAGGAATTTCATATTACACAGTTGCTGAAAAAGTAGGAATCAGTTTAGTTCATATTTCCATTTTGGAGACAGTGTCTTGCTATTAGTTTAACTTGGCCTTAAACTCACTATGTAGCCCAGCCTGGCCTCGAGCTCACAGTGATCCTTCTGCCTCAGCCTCCCAGAGCTGGGATTGTAGGCGTGCACCATCATACCCAGCTTACGTGTTGAAAGAAAAGCAATTGCATAATACTTAATCATATGACTTACCCGTTATAATCTAGATGATAGCTTGCCATTTTAAAAATTCATTTTCATATTTGTAAAATTAGAAATAACATCTATGAACATAAAGCTATGAAAAGTAAGTTTTAATATCCAAAGAAAAATCCATATGCCAATAATTTTTCATCTTCATTAAAAATTTAGATGTTTTAGAACTATTTGAATGTGATTATCAATTGAAAATTGAAAGATTGTGGAGTTAGGGATATAGCTCAATAACATAGCACCTGCCTGGCAAGTGTGAGGACTTGAGTTCGATTCCTGATACCAGAAAAAAATAAAAGAGTATATCTTTTATTATGTTGTAAATTTTGGTATTTTATGATATTTTATATAATTTGTATATAATAAATTGCATGCATTGTATTATTTTGAGTCTGTACCTAAACAAAGTACAGAACATTTTCATCATCCCTCAACATTTCTTTATGTACCTTATTTTTGGTAGATTTTTAATAACAGCTTCATTGGTATCTAATTTATGTATCATAAAATTCACTTTTTTGCTTTGGTTTGGTTAGCAGTAGTGGCTGTTAAGGCTGAGGCCTTCAAACTGAGCTGCATCCCTACCCATCCACCCACCCTACCTGCCAGCTCCCTTTATTTTTTCTTTGAGGCAGAGACCTGCTAAATTAAATTGCCAAGGCTGGGCTCAGATTTTCAGTGCTTTTGCACAGACTTCCGGAGTTTGGATCATAGGTGTGAGCCACTGCACCCAGCTTAAAATTCACCTTTTAAAAACCATTCTGGAAAAGAATGATGGCTGTAATTGAAGGGCAATGTGGATGTTACTTAATGCCACTGAACTGTACACTTAAAAGTAGGTAAGATGTAATTTTGTTATGGGTGTTTTAACACAGTAAACTTTGAGCATGTGTATAGATAAGTGGCATTAGTTTATTCACATAGATTTTGGAGTGTTTTTCAGTGGAGTTAGAGATTAAACCTAGAGTTTTGAGCATAATAGGCAAATGTGCCACTTCTAAACTATACCCAAATCCTTTTTTTTTTTTTTTTACTTTTTATTGTTTTGATTTCTTGTCTTATCTTTTTCTTTTTTCTTTTCTTTTCTTTTTCTTTCTTTCTTTTTTTTTTTTTTAATTCTGAAGCAGTTTTGTTGTGTTGCCCAAACTGGTCTCTAGCTCACAATCCTCCAGCCTGAGGAGCTGGTATTACAGGGTACTGTACCTGCCTCTCTTAGATTTGATTGTTAAACTGTTAAATTTGTCTGTGTGATACAGAAATTTGCCAGTTACTTTTTTCATTTAGGGGTTATCTGATAGTCCATACTGTGGCCCAAAAAGCCACAGAAACTTTGTTTTATTGTAGCAGTTAACTGTTTATATTTTTACTATATATGTATGTATGTGTATACATAGTATATATATATTTTTTAATGGTCTTTTTGAGACATGGCTTCACTATGCAATTTAAGCTGGCCTTGAACTCATTATGTAGGCCAGGCTGGCCTCAAATTCATACCGATCCTCCTCCCTCAGCCTCCCAATTGGTGGAATTACAGGTGCGCGCTAGCACACCTAGCTTCCGTAATTTTCTTAGAACAGTTTGTGGAAAGTTTTAAAAATTCTTTTTGTGGTCAAAATCTTTTTTTTTTTTTTTTAAACCTGTTCAAGGGCCAGATATTTAGCTCATTCGTGTAAGCGCCTGCCTGGCAAGAGTGAGGTCATGAGCTCAATCCTCAGTACAAAAAAAAAAATTATTTTGGGGCCAGGAGTTTAGCTCAGCAGTGTAAGTGTCTGCCTGCAGGCCTGGGGTCATGAGTTCAATCCCCTGGTACCAAAAAAAAAACAAAAAAAACAAAAAAAAAACCTGTTCAGTCAGGTGTGGTGGCACATGCCTGTAATCCCAGCATTGGGAGGTTGAGGCAAAAGGATTGCTGCAAGTTTGAGGCCAGCCTGGACTACAAAGTCAGTTCAAGGCAAACGTGAACTTCATAGTGAAACTCAGTCTCAAAAAGACAAAAATAAAATAAAAATTAAAAATCTGGTTTTTTTACCACCAATGAATGTCAGTATTCTTAGAGCTTCTTGTAAAACTCTACTAATTTCATTTCTGTGTAACATTTTTTATGAAGGCCAAACATGGTGATTCATGTATGTGATGAAGGAAAAAATTTGAAAGAAGATTTTATTTGCCCACGAGATCTTTTGATATCTGAAATGAAGTACTTTGCTGAATATTTATCGATGGATGCCCAGCGCTGGGAAGAGGTGGACATTTCAGTTCATTGTGATGTTCACATTTTCAACTGGTTGATAAAATATGTTAAAAGGAATACAAAGGAGAATAAAGATTGTGAGACGCCTACTTTAGGTAAAATATAATCTGTTGCTTTATTTTATAGTGAAATTTCCATGTCAATTGATCGTTGTTTGAGGCCAAAAATAAAATATAGAAAATTATTTGAACATTGGTATCTTGAAAACTGATACTGATGCTTTTTTATAAATTTAGTTATTTGCTAAAATTTAGTAAATTTACTGTTTATGGAAATAAACAGATTTCTAGGTCAGCAATTCTTAACATATTGTGTGTAGACGACTGGGTTCTGGAGACCCATTTTAGAGAGTCCACAAGATTAAAATGATTTACACAATAATACCAAGATCTTATTTATCTTTTTACCGTGTTAAATTTTTCTCAAGTGATACAAAGGCAATGCTGAGCAAAACTATAAATCAAGGTAGGAGCACCAGACTGTACCAGTAGTCGTTACAGACTTAACACCATCCATTCATGGATAGAAAGGAACAAAAGAAAATATGTCAGTTCACTTAGTAATATCCTTGAAGCAGTAAAAATTTCTAATTTTTAAATTTTAAGTCTTGAATGAGCTCTGCATGGTAAAAGGGGAAGTACACTTCTTTACATGGCAGTGTGTGATGACTGTCTTGAGGGAAAGCATTTTGGAAAAATTCCCTGCTTCCATGTGCATGACGTCTTTTCAGTACTCAAAAGGCTTTCCTAAGACTGGGATATGTATGATCCCAGCACTTGGGAGGCTGAGCAGGAGGATCTCCGTAAGTTTGAGGCCAGCCTGGATATATAGTGAATTCAAAGCCAGCCTGCACTACATAGTGAGACTTTCCTAATGGGATCTAATTGATGATCATATTAGTAAATATGATTTTGGTTTTTGTTGTTGCTGAAAACAAAAGGTTTGAAAATAGTCTTTTCACCAGGCATGCTGGCTCATGCCTGTAATCCCAGCACTTGGGAGGCTGAGGCAGGAGGATTGTTGCGTGTTTTGAGACCAGCCTGGGCTACAAAGTGAGCTCAAGGCCAGCCTGAACTGCATGGCACGAGACCCTGTCTCAAAAAAGACAAAAAAAAAAAAAGAAAGAAAAGAAATGAAAATAGTCTTTTCACTGAACTCTTACCCAGAGCTTTTTATTTTTTATCTTGTTTCACTGGGTAGGATTCAAGCTTGAAGTCTTCAAGCTGGTCCTAGTGACACATCCCTGTAATCTTAGGAAGATTGCTCAGTGTTTGAGACCAGCCTGGGCCACATAATGAAGTCAAAGCCAGTCTGGACTATATAGCAAGACCCTGTCTCTCACCGCCCCCCAAAAATTGCAATCCTCCCTCAACCTCCTTTGTGCTGTACTCATAGGCGTGTGCCACCATGTGCAGCTCAATAAATGTGATTTTAAAAATATATATTGCACAATGAAATGTCTCAACATTTGAAAGCTCTGCAATGGGGGCCAAGGATTTAGCTCAGTGACATAAGCGCCTGCCTGGCAAGTATTAGGTCGTGAGTTCAATCCCTAGTACCAAAAAAAAAAAAAAAAAAGCTCTGCATAGCTCAATGAGCTAATTATTTTCTAAACAATCAATGAATGATATTTAAGAATGGATTAATGATCCATTTGAAATGCAAGATAAATCATTTAACAGGAAAATTTATTGATAAGGTTTCAGATTTCATTACAATTAAATTTTAAGAAACTTAATTTCTGTATAATACTGAAGAAGGCCATTGAAATATGAATATGAAAACAGACATAATACAGCTGTCTTCTATTTAGTATTGAAGGGATTTGCAAAAAGTATTTCAAGCCCTGCTGCTCTTAATATTTTTTTCATTTTGGAAAATAAAGTTGTTTCTCAAAAATATGTCAATATATTTCTATTTTAAAATAAATATTTTTAAAATTTCTAATATGAATACTGATAAGACATAACTCACAAAAACAAAAAGCTTTTTAGAATTTTTCACTTTTTAAGATTGAAGAGGAGTCCTAAGACTGAGAGTTTGAGAATCAGTGTTTAAATGATACCAAGGATAATTATTAAAACTAATCTTTCATTCGGGAGAACATGGCGGATAGATAGCAGCAGCTATGGAGGCTCTCTGAGATACCCCACTTAAAATCCAGGAATGGTGTGGGGCGAGAAGTCCTAAGCAAGGGGAGATATACCCTGCTGACCCAGGAACAAACTAAACTAAGAGAAACCAACTGGAAACGCAATCGTGGTGCTATAACAGGAACAGATAACGTCTCAGTGCAGAAGCTGGAGCCCGAGCCACTGGAAGCCGTGATTTGAATTTCCTGCAGCCACTGCTGCGTCCCAATTGGCACAGCAAGGAGAGAGGGCGAAAGCTCTGAGAGTGGGAAGTGACGAATGGAGTTGAGAGCGGGACTGGCTGGGAGCCCTGCGTTGACCTGCGGTGAGTGAGCAGATCGGGGACCCTTCCATAGAGTAGGAGGCTTCAGCAAAGGGCATACTGGGACTGGGCAGACTAGCCAGAACAGGATGCTGCAGATTGGTGGGGAGTGGCTGGCCTGGGTGTCGCTGCTGACTTAAGACCCAGTAGGCTAGCCCAAACCAGGTCCCAGCGCCTAGAGGTGCACCCTAGCAGTGAAGCCTTCGGTAGGTTGACCTGGAGGGGCGGGCCCAGCGGAGGCTGCCCAGGTCTGTGTCTCCCTAGTAGACTGCAGTGGGTGGGAACACCTAGCCAGCGTAATTCAAACAAACTGTAACAGAAAAAGAAAGAAACTGGGCCTCCTATATATGCTTGTATGGAAGGAACAAAAAATATGGGAAGAGGGAGCAACAAGAAAGGGTCCTCGGCCCCCAATCCTGAGAAACATGCAGTATCAGACACGGCACCAATAGACATAATATCTCCAGAGCCTCATAGACCAGTTCAAAAATGAAGTTATTAACGACCTAAAGCAAGATATAAGTAGAATAGTTAAAGAAATGCTGAGCACTGCCCAAGAAAAAAACAGATGGTGGAATGGAAGAACAGAAAAAAAGGAGAGAATTGTTTGATGGAGAAAACAGAGAAAACATAGAATATGTGAAGCAGGTTCAAAGAGATTACCAGGAAACTAAAAACTCTATCAAAAGCTGGCATAACAGCTTGAAAGAAACTAAGGATAGATTATCTGAACTGGAGGGTAGATTTGTAATGTGGGAGCATGAAATAAAAAACTTAAAAATAACAAGAAAATAAACAGCAATAATACAAAGGCTAGAAGATGATAAGAGGATCTATAACTTAAGAATTAAAAACATAAAAGAAGAGGTAGTGACACAAACAAATGGACTACAAAAGCTATTCACAGAAATAATTCAAGAGAATTTCCCTAATTTAGCAAAAGGTAAAGATACTCAGATGTATGAGGCATACAGGACCCCAGCCACCTACAACCCAAACAGAGCAACACCCAGGCATATAATAATCAAAATTCCAGAAATCCAATATAAGAACAGAATATTAAAAGCCGTCAGAGACAAGAAACAGATCACTTACAAGGGAACACCCATCAGAATTACAGCAGACTTCTCAGCACAAACCATCAAATCACAAAGAGTGTGGGGGGAAATAAGTCAAGCTTTGAAAGATAATAACCTCTAGCCAAGATTGATATATCCTGCACAACTGTCCGTAGAAATTGATGGAAAAACAAAGTGCTTTCAGGATAAAGAGAAACTAGGGGAATTTGCAACCACCAATTCAACTCTACAGAGAATACTGCAGGATATTCTAAAAAAGGAAAATACCGAGATTCCAGAAATAGTGGCAGAGAGGCCACAATGAATGGAGCAGAAAGAGAAATGAAGAAGACAAACTGACAACAAAGGACAGAAAAAGCTCAACAGAAATGAGGCAGAGAAGATCGGAAGGTAGGAACAGCCATTTTGGAGAAAACAAGACATCATAATAGCTAGTGCTGATTTAGTATCATGTTGTTTTGAAGTCCCATCAAGCTTTTATTCTTGTGTCTTCGTCCGTCTTAACAGGTTGTATCTTATTGGATTTTATTATATGTGATAATATAAGCAAAAACTTTTATAGACAAGGAGATTATACAGAAACCATTGTTGATTTTCTGTTGTTTCTAAATACCCTCTAATAATGTCATTCTCTTGAATGGTTTTACATTGTCTGTTATGTTTGGTGCTACAGTATACAAAGTTATACTCAAAAGATTTCAAGGAAAGAGACACTATGATAACTACTTTTATGTTGGGATATCTTGTGGTGAAACACTATTTTGCTTAAATGGTTATGTTTTGACCTGCACTGTTTTGTTGTTATGCCCTCTTTTATCTCAAGCTCCTTTTTTAATTATTTACTTTTTTATTTTTATCTTTAATTAAGGGCAAAATAAAAAATAGCAGGATATATTACAGTAACCTACTTTGATTTCCTATTAACTTGATTTGAAACCCTGTATTGCCCTCACCATCTTGTTGTGACTGATTTTCCCCTATTCTGCTTAGCTTGATAGTAGCAAGTTCAAAAGTATAGGCAACAACTGTGAAGATAGTAAGATTCATTATGACACCCATTCTGATTGTTACCTTCTTTTAAAGTCCTGTAATGTCTCTAATGTTTTGGTTTTATTCTTTACTGTTTTGTTCATTTTTATTATAGCTGATGATATAGGCAATTCTTCTTAATAATAGCAAGAGACAGTATGCTAACCATTGTTGATCACCTTGTATTTTGTTTTTACATTATTATGTCCATCCTTTTGATTTGACTGACTCTGTTCTGATATGTCGCATTTGGTTTTACTCTCTTCAAAAAAAGTAACAAGAACTGTGGGAGTAATAAAACCCAAAATGTGTAATTGTCATTGTACAAAAGAAAAGAAAAAAAAGTGCTCTAAAGGTTATAACTGCATATATGTTTAAGCGTATAAGATAGATAACCATATTACTGAGTTTTGTTGGATCATTGAACAAAACTGTTTGCAGTCTCACTGTTTGAAAGTCCACTTTATAGGGTCTGGGGATTTAGCTCAGCAGTATAAGCACCTGCCTTGCAAGCAGGCAGTCATGAGTTCGATCCCTGGTACCGATAAAAACAAAAAAGACCAAAAAAAAAAAAAAAAAAAGAAAAGAAAAGAAAAAGAAAGTCCACTTTATATGCTTTAATTTTGTAACTTGAACAACTATTTCTAAGATGAGAATATGTAATCTATTAACTAGTGATTTCTTACTGTTTATTTTTTGAATTTTGTATTACTTGTACCCTTTTTCTTTTTTTTTCTTTTTCTCCTTAAATAAAATTTTTAAAAAAACTAATCTTTCAGTGGATACAGACTCACATTATAGGAGTCTCATTTGTGGTTTAATAAAGTCTTTCTGTGCACTAAAATTGCTACTTACATAAAATATTTTTAAACTCTTACAGTAAATTATACTGACAGTGTAAAAGTTTCTGAATATGGAGGTTCCTTACAAGACTGCTAAAGCAGAATTTTCAGCGAGAGTTCAGATTCCAGATTTTTCCGACTATGGTATATATATGTGAAACATAAAATATGTAAAGAAGAAAATATTTGATCTGACATTTATGTGTGTGGTAATGGTAAAATAGATAAAGAAAATCCTGTCATTACAAATACAAATTTTTATAAAAGCAAACTTTATTCTAACTAGGAAAAGTATTAACATGCCTAATTAAATCTCTAATCATTCAGCCACTGGTCCTTAACCAAATTGTTAACCTTCTGGTGAGCATTTTTACCAGGTTCTTCCTCCTTTTACTGTATCCACTTGAGAAACTGTAAACAAGAATTGTTATTTAGGTAAATATTGGGATTACTTGTTTTAATTATGAAGATTTCTAATATATGGTTATTGTAATACTATGATAGTAAAAACCACAATTTGTTCTTCTGAAATCTGCTTCGTGGGCGATGACAGACTTACGAAAGAGTCCAGCAGCATGCCCTTCCCCTGTCCTGATGGCTGAAGGTTCATTCTGTATGCCTTAGGAAATAACTTGAGCACTTCAGTAGTAGGTGGTGGTGGTAGCAATGGTGGTGGTAGCGTGTCCCCTTCATGCTGAGCAGCATCCTCAGCATTGAAATGTTTTTTTTAATGTTGAGACAGGGCTTTCTTAAGTTACAAATTTGCCCAAGCTGAGCTCAAACTTGCAGGCTACTGGTTTTAAAGGCATGTACCGCCACACCCAACTAGTAGAAAATTTCTTACTACCTTTAAAAATCTTTGAATATTAGTTCATAGTAACATTGAACTCTTTTTACCAGTACTATGCTCTTTTTGATCATAGTAGCTTTATAATATAATTTCAAGTTGGGGATTGTGATGCCCCTGTCTTTGTTGCCCCTAATGGACTCCATATCTTCACTAATAACAAATGTTCTCATTAATTATTTTGGAAATTTTTCTCTGTGATGTTTATCTATTTCATACCTTTAACTAGAATCTGTACTTACTATAAATCTAATTCGTCGGCAAATTTACTATGCATTTTTCTTTGTATTATAAATTTTAACTTTAAATTCTTTTCTGTATCTAAGCTTTATGATATAAGTAAGGTTATATTAAATTGTTCTTATTAAAGTACCATCTTTTTTGAAGATAAAAAGGAACCTGTTCTCAGGAGACCATGATATCAAAAGGAATTTTAATTTATTTTCTTTCTTTTTAGAACCTGGGAATGTCATTTCAATTCTTATTTCTTCAGAATTTTTGAAAATGGATTCACTAGTAAGTATTAATTTTAAAAATCCAATATTTTGTTTCACTTTAGGCTTTTTTCTTCAAATATCAGAAATTCTCAGATGTTTTATTAAAATAGTTCCTAGAGTGTAATTTTATTGTAATACATTGCATGCTTGAAAATACTTTGTTCTGTTAGAAAAGGGTTAAAACTACTAAGCATCATTTATCTGTCATACCAGTAAACAAGCAGGCAATCTCAAAGCATAGCTCACTCTTAGAGTAGGTGTAACTAAAGATTAACTTTACTTCAGATGGGGTTTGTCTTACCAGCAAATTACATAAATACTAACTGACATATGTTTTGCTATTTAAGTGATTTCTTTAATCTGATTGGCTTTTTTTTTTTTTTTGTACTGGGGATTGAACTCAACTGTGCGCTTGCAAGGCAGGCACTTACGGCGCTGAGCGAAATCCCTGGCCTCCTGATTTGTTTTTATCACTCTTATTTATAGTTCAGGGGTTAGTGAAGAACAAATATCCAGCTATATATTTTATGTTTGTATCACTGAAGCTTATATTTATTGCTTAAGACTAGCTGGTGATAGAGGTAAGTATAATCTATAGATACATTATTATAAGCTCTAACAGTAAATGTATTTGCTTTTTTTATTTAATAAACTTATCATTCAGATTATTTTTACATATGTTTGTGGTTGATATTTCTGGTTGATATTTAACCTTTAGCTCATAAAACTATACAGGGAAGAATACTGCTTTGCTATCCTGGCAGGTGAGAAGTTTGTTTCCTTGATTATTTGGAGTTTTGCTAGTTTACTGGCAGTTGCTAGTTTAGTCAGTTGGAATTATTCAGGTAAAGACAACAGAAGAAACACAGAGTCTAACATAGTCCTTAAAAAAGTTTATGCTATCAGCAAAATATTTGGGAGAAGATGCAAATAACCCTTTTTTACTTTTAAAGTAAATAAGTACACCTAAAGTTGGAGGGAGAGGAAGAAAATTAGAGAGCAAACGTACCCCAACTGAGAATGTCATTAAATGACTAAAAGTTTGTTTCTGAGACCTAGAGAAACAGAGGCTTAAATGACAACTAAGTTTTCTGAGCATAGTGTTGAACACTTGTAGTCCCAGTATTTGGGAGGCTGAGGCAGGAGAATTACTGTGAGTTAAGGCCAGCTGAGGCTGCGTAGTAAGTTTGACACCTACTTGAACTACGTAGTGAGATCCTGTCTCAAACAAAAACGCAATTAAAGGAACTTACCTGGTATACAAAGATATTTACCTGCCCCAACAATAAAAAATACTCCTGTTTGTAATAGAAAAGATTAGAAAATAATTTTCCTAGGTTCCTGTATATATCCGTACAAATTTGACCTGCAAGACCACTTTGGAGTAAGTTACATTAACCCAAATAGACAAAACTAATACGTGGATTAGGTTTTTAGTGAATTTCATGTTTGAAAGGTATTGCTATAACATTATCCTTTGTGCTATTATTTTCAACATTCATTTCTGTTTTTTTTTTTTTTTTAGGTAGAACAGTGTATTCAGTACTGCCACAAAAATATGAATGCCATAGTAGCGACCCCGTGCAACATGAACTGTATTAATGCAAATCTTCTTACACGAATAGCTGATCTGTTCACTCATAATGAAGTTGATGATTTAAAAGACAAAAAAGATAAGTTTAGGAGGTAACTTTTAAATTTAATTTTAAACCTAATATTTCTGTTAAAGAAATATAGTTCTCTTTAACTTCAGTGAATTTCTGTTCTTAGACTATATTTAGAGGCAGACAAGATGGCACTTACCTATAATCCCAGCACTCAGGCAGCTGAGGCAAGAGGATCACTTGAGAGTTTGAGGCCAGCCTCAAAAAATATTTTTATATAGATAATATATATGAACATACATAACTTTTTTCTATTTTAAGTGAACAGCCAGTGACTCATGGTAAAAAATTAGTATAGTAAACGTGTGAGCATATTGTGGTAGTGACATACATTAAAAATGTTTAAGACAAGCTTTAGTACTAAGAGAAAGAAGCCAGGTGGGGCATGTCTATAATCCCAACACACGGGAGGCTGAGACAGGAGGATCATTGCAAGTTTGAAACCAGCCTGGACTACAAAATGAGCTCAAGGCAAGATTGAATGGGATAGTGTGACCCTGTCTCAAAAAAACAAAAATAAGTAAATGGAAAGAATATTATGTCAGCAGTAGTTGCATCGCTTAGAGTCTGTTTAGATCAAAGCAAGGAGGAAATGCCTTATTCTAGATGTGAATGAAGAGGGGAAGTCACGTACTATATCATTTGTTTTTTAAGAGAGGATGCTAGCTACTTTGTGAAAATACTTCAGGGATAGAAGGAGCAAGAACGATCACGTTAGTACAGAGGACTAGAGAGAACTGAAAGGGTTTGGACAGGAGGGAAGCAGTAAAGCTAGCAAGAAGTAGACAGGTTCAGAGTGTATCACGAGAAGGATGTGACAGGTTTGTACATGTGATGATGTGGGGAAAGATCTCAGGGTAATTCCCAGGCTTTCAGCTTGAGTGACTAAGTGGGTGGTACTACCACTAACGAGAATGGAAGCGTTGGGAGGGGAAGGATTGGAGTGAAGCAAATAAGAGACGGGAGATGGACTTGGGTCTTGTTGAAACATTTAATGTACCTCTTGGACATCCAGATGAAACAGTCAATAAATATTGGATGCATTAGTCTTAAATTCAGGTCAAAGATTAGGCTTAAAATAGAAATTTGGGGATAGATGAGATTTGAAACAGTGAACTGGATGAGATTTCTTAGCAAGAAACCATAGTATTTTTTGTTTTATTAAAGAAATATTGGGCTGGGGATTTAGCTCAGTGGTGTAAGTGCCTCCCTGGCAAGCACAAGGTCATGAGTTTGATCCCTGGTACCAAAAAAAAAAAAAAAGAGAGAGAAAAAAATATTTGTCTACCTGAAGATAGTGGAGATATTCTGTGGGGGTTTTTTCTATTATTTATCCTGAATCTGTGTGTGTGTGTGTGTGTGTGTGTGTGTGTGTGCGTGCGTGTGCGTGTTACAAAGTAGGCATCGTAGTTCATTTTTTTCCTGAATAGATAACCTAGCTGACAGATCAGCAGGTATTAAACAAATTGATTTATCTCCACCTTTCTTCAAGTTGCTATACAGCCTTTTTCAGTCCTTTGCATTACATATAAGTTTTATAATCAGCTTATTTTCTGTTCCTCAAACACACCTGCCAGAGTTTGAGGTTAATATAAAACTTATAGATAAGTTTCAGAAGTTTTTTTTTGTTTTGTTTTTTGTTTTTTTTTTTTTTTTTTTTTTTTTGGTTTTTGGTGTTTAGTTTTTGGTACTGGTGATAAAACTCATGACTTTGTGCTTGCCAGGTAGAAGTTTGTGCCACTGAGCTAAATCCCAGCTCCAAGTTTGGGAGTTTTTACTCTCTTGATAATATTTCAACCTATGAATGTAATACACCCTCCCTTTATTTGGGTGTTATTTATTTCATCAGTGTTTTATTTGGGGTTTAGAAAAATTTCCCCTTTTTTAATTGAACTTATTCCTAGGTATTTAATTTTTCAGTGCTATTGAAAACGCTATTCTGAGTTTATTTGCTAATTGTTAATAAGAAGCTACCCAGTAGTTAGAGATTAAACAGAGAAGTGACTCCTAGTGAGAGGCCTATGGAAATGGAACCAGGGGAACAAAGGAAGGAAAAAGGGTTTTAAAAGGAAGACTCAGTTAAGGGACCAAATATGTAGGCTTCTGCTCTCATGTACAGTAAGGTGAAGCCTGATGGGATTAATTGGATTTAGAAATTTTTTCCAGATGTTTTGCTTGAATAGTTGCCAAAAAATACAGCAGCAGCTATTTGGGGAAAGAAAGGCTTAAGAAAGGATACTTTTAAACTTCAGGGTGTTTAAAATACTTGGGTTGATTCATTAAGAGGAAGAAATTGATAATATAGAAGATTATCCAAAAATTTAAACTTTACAGAAAATGAGACAGTGGAATAATCCAGGGGTAAAATATTTGAATATGGCAGTGGACTCCTAATCCAGTAGACAGAGGGAGCGGAAACAAAGGAGCGTCATGAGGTAAAAAGGAATTAAGGTGGTCATGTACGCGTCCTACAGTAATCTCCATGATGAAAGTAATCATCAGACACTGCAAACGTGTGCGTCCTCATAAAGAAGTGCGGCGCCCAGACATCTCACAAGAGAGGAAGGAAGCAGGCAGAACGTGTGTTTAGAGTTGATGGCGCACTGAGGAGACTTCAAGCTCAGTTAGATAATGCTTAATAGTAAAGTAGTTCACATTCATTTAATTTTAACACTGTGCCTGGCACTATAGACATATTGTGCCATTTAATCTTCATAAAACCTTGAGTTTGGAATTAGTAATCATGTTTTTTTAGAGAAAAGTTTGAGAGAATAAGTTGCTAAGAATTATGTACCTAGTTATTGATGATAGAATTGAATTGCTAAACTCTCAAAATCTTTTTAAATACTTCAGTAACAGAGAGGTAGATATTTATTGGTGAAAATAGATTCTTTATTAAGCAGTTTTTAATAGATTTTTTCACTTAGTACACCAAAATGTATTATAAATGTCAAAAGAGCCTCTTTAAGGATTTGTTCATGTTATTTTACCCACATATAGGTAGTATTCATCTTATCACTATAAAGTAATGTTAAAAGAGTAAATATAGAAATTAATTTGTTGGTCATTTGTTGTTAATAGTAAGCTTTTTTGTAAGAAGATTGAGAGACTGTTTGATCCTGAGTACCTGAATCCAGATTCTCGGAATAATGCAGCAACCTTGTATAGGTAACATCTCATTTCTTTTGGTGTGCTGTATAATGTAGCTATACTCTTTAGATTACATTTTTACCCATTTTTTGTACCTTTCTTAAAGATGCTGTTTGTGTAAGAAACTTTTAACAAAGGAAACAGAGAGAAGGATTCCTTGCATTCCTGGAAAAATCAATGTGGATCGGCATGGAAACATCATCTATGTTCATATAAGGTATACTGAAGATAAAATACAGCTTTTTTATGTGAATTTCTAATGTATTTGTAAAAGCATAACTTTTTAAATGAGGAATAGGTTAGTGTCTTTCCTGCAGGTGATACATCTTTGATTTAGAGAGATACTGCTTTCAAAACAAAATTGTTATAAAAGCTACATTTTGTTTACTGGCTGTACTTTATAATATCTTTAAATTTCAAACTGGTAGAAATTATTGTAGTTTAATCTTAAAATATATTATTTTCAGTGACATTAATGTGATTTCTTTTCAGTAATAAATTTAATTATCTATAAAAGTGTTGTAGCTGTGCATGGTGGCACACATCTGTAATTCCAGTACTCTGGAGGCTGAGGCAAATTGGTGTGAGTCCAAGGTCAACCTGGGGTGTATAGTGAGTTCAAGGCCATCCTGAACTGCATTATAAGACTCTGTATCAAAAAAACCCTACTAACTAAAACCAAACTATTTCTCCGTAGGTAAGTACTTAAGTTTGACAGAAAGCATCAAAGAACACTAAAGATGATTAGGGTCCATATGGCACAATAGTTATCAGATCCATATTAATTATCTATGAACTGTCATTCTGAGTTAGAGAAGGGGTATTGTAAGTTGATGTAATGGCCCACGAAAGAAAAAACTTTAAAAGATATGTATCCTTAATAATTTTCTAATGTTGGGAATATATCCAAAGAGATAATGTTGGCTTTTTGAATCCTTTAACAAGGAAATCTATTGCTTTATTAAGTATATGTAGCCGAGAAAAAAAAAAGATAATACTCAGATGACTAAACATCAGAATATATCCATGCATGTATAGCTATGGAAAACACATCTGATCAGTTTTCACTGTGCCACATTTAAGAATTTATGTTGGAGTAAAAAAATACTTACCTGGAAGATCATTAGTGGTAAAGTTTTGGGGTTTTTTTTGTTTTGTTTTGTTTTGTTTTGTTTTTAATTTTATTTAAAAGGAAAAAGAGAAAAAGCAAAACAAAACAAAGTGGTGTAAGGGTACAAGTAATACAGAGTTACCAAAAAAAAACAGTAAAAAATCACCAGTTAATAGATTACACATTACATCTTAGAGATAGTTGCTCAAGTCACAGTATCGAAGCATACAAAGTGGACATTCAAACAGAGAGACTGCAAACAGTTGTGTTCAATGATCCAACCAAAAACATTAATATGGTCAGCTATTTAACACCCCTAAACACACTTGCAGTTGTATCCTTTAGAGCACTTTTTTTTCCCAACAAAATTTACACATTTTGGGTTTTATTAGTAGTGGTAAAGTTTTAAAAATAGGAGTAGGATATAAAACAACTAGCAGCATGTGCACTAAAATATTAAGTAATAGTATTATAGGTAGATTTAGTTTTCTTTTTGCTTGTTCTTCTGTTTTTATAATTCTGTATCATACGCTTACTTTATTAAAGAAAAAAATCTTACAAGTACATTTTAAATATTAAAACAAAATGAAACTGCTTAATTTGACCTTCATGTTAATAACACAGTGAACTAGGGGCTGGGGATTTAGCTCAGCGGCATAAGCGCCTGCCTTGCAAGCAGGCAGTCGTGAGTTCAATCCCTGGTACCGATAAAAAAAAAAAAGACAAAAAAAAATTTGTAAAAAAAATAACACAGTCAACTTTAAAATGTTTCATTTTCTATCAGTATAGTAATCAGGAAATCTTGATTAGTTATTGTAAGCAGTTGGAATCTATTTTTTTGTTTGTTTGTTTTTGTCCTTTTCCTTTTTAGCGGTACCAGGGATCGAACTCACGACTGCCTGCTTGCAAGGCAGGTACTTATGCTGCTGAGCTAAATCCCCAGCCCTGGAATCTGTTTTTTTTTTTTAAGAAAGATGCTAGTTTTAATTTTTATTGGTACATGTTGGTAGTGTGTGATGATTACACTGATTGTGGGCCGTTGGTATATGTATAAAGACATGTATTTGGGAGTGGGAGGCAGTAAGTATAATCAAACTCAGGACCTCCTACTTGCCAGGTGGGCACTTGTGCCAGGGAGCTTTTTTTATTTTTATTTTTTTTGTCTGAAGGTTTGATTAACCTTTTGAAGATTACTTCCATTCTAATAGCAGTAACATCTTTCCTTAGCACTGGAAACATCTTTCCTTAGCACTGGAACATCTTTCCTTAGCACTCTACCTTTCTTAAAAATGTTTATTGAGATTGGACTCAAACTTGTGATCCTGCTGCCTCACCCTCCCAGAGTGTTAGGATTACAGGCAGGTACCACATGCCCAGCTCTGACAGCAATAATTATTAACACCAGTAGTAGTATGTGAAAAGAAAGTAATTGATACGGCTTAGCAAGACCTTCTTTCAAAGTTAAACAAAAAGCTGGTAATACAGCTTCAACATCCAGTTTTGTTGTTTTATTCAACAATAGCTGATGCACACATTTGAAAAATTATTAGCTGTCTTTCTTAGGGGTTTGTTTTGTTTTTTTGGTACCGGGTATCAAACAACTTCAACTTTCAAAATAGATATGCTTTTGTAATTTGTCATAACATGGTGTCATTTTGTGATTTTGTTGAACTAAAAAAAAAATAGCAGAAGTTAAAAAATATTAAAAATAGACACTTAAAAAGTATAGGAACTTGAGGTATAAATGATCATAGCAAATACAATTTAAAATCTTTGTTGTATTTAATTTTAAAATGCATTTTAAGGCCCGGGGACGCAGCTTAGCGGGGGAGTCCTTGACTTGGCATGCACAAGGCCTGGAGTTCGATACCCAGCACCACCAAAAAAAAAAGTTAAAATATATTTTATAAAATATATATGTTTTATGCCTGCGTGTGAGTACAGTAATCTGGGAGGCTGAGTCAGGAAGATCCCAAGTTCAAGCCTGCCCTGCGTTAACTTGGTAACCTAGCAAGATCTTGTCTCAATAAATAAATAAAAAGGTCTGGGGGTGTAACTGAGTACACAGGCTTTGGGATCAATCCTCAGTAACCATCTCCCCCCACAAAAAAATATTGCAGTAAAACCTGGTTGTGTATTACTATGCTGCTCAGTTATTAGGAATGCTGTCCAGAAATAATGTAAAAAACCAGCACCCTGATGAAATGTCTAGAATCACTAGTCTGTAACAGCATGTCACAGCGTAATGCAGTTAGTGTAAAGTTTCCATTTGGTGCCTAGCTCTCAGTTGTCATCTGTTCAAATTTAATTATTAGAAATTAACACATAGCAATAACAGTTTGGCATTCAGCCTTTCATACCTTCTTGTATTGCTCAAAGAATAAACAAACACCCAAACGAATTTTATTTGAGGTGTGGTCAAAGCTACAGTGAATGTTTAAATTTTAAAATGAAACTATTGCAGAACAGACACATTGCCATTAGTCAGATCAAAATTCTTCTTCTCAGTTTGAGCACACTTGTCCCATTGTCTGCCACTTTCCGAAGCAGTCCTGGGAGTCCTCTTTCATGAATATCTTGGGTTGAGCTGTTGTGGCTGCCTTGACGTCCTGAATGGCCTAAAAATACTACTTTTCTTAGTCATTTTGATCTTGGGGAAGAGCCAGAACGTTGCACATGGTGCTGGACCAGTCAGTAAGTGGTGGGGACACACCACAGTGTATTCCCAGCCCGCCTTCCCTTGGATGTCACACAGCAGCAGCATTTCTGATCGCACCTCATAAAGACAGGACAGAAGTCTACAGAACTGCCTCTGAAAGTGGCAAGAATGATGGAATAAATGTGCTCCAAATGAGGAGAGGACTGTGAAGGGGATTCATGGCAGTGTGTCTTTTACAAGAATATTTTTTAATAGTACTTTTTTTTTTTTGTCTTTTTCGTTTTTATCGGTACCAGGGATCGAACTCACGACTGCCTGCTTGCAAGGCAGGCGCTTATGCCACTGAGCTAAATCCCCAGCCCCTTAATAATACTTTTTAAAAATTAAGCATTTATTGCACATTTAGATCATTGTACTTTTTAACGTAGTCTGTACCACTTGATCATTTCAGGAGTATGTGTGAAAATAAACCACAATTTTTTTTTAAAAAGCATTTGTTTGAAACAAGTTGTTCATATTGCTTGCTTGTAAAAAAAATACAATCTCTGGCTCTTTCCCCAGAGATAAGACCTGGGACGTTCATGAGTATTTGAATAGTCTTTTTGAAGAATTAAAGTCTTGGAGAGATGTATATTGGAGGTTATGGGGAACAATCAACTGGCTGACTTGTTCCAGATGTTTTCAGGTGAGACTTCTATTTTAATATCTTCTTCTGCAAACATGAAAAGCGGGTATCTTGAGGTAGCACGCTCAGTGGCCTGGGTGACCAGCCCCTTCTCTGGTGGGGCTTGAGCATGAAGGGCCACATGGAAAAGGGCAGATCAGATGACCACTGCCACCACTATCATCACCACGGCTTGTCACCAAAAAGAAGATAGTGCATCTGGAAGATCAGTTGTCTCATGACGAGGTGTATATAGCAGGAAAATTAATCATTCATGCCTTTCCTGAAGAATTCAATGAGATTTTTAATGATATTCTATTACGGTTTAATGATAATCTTCTCAGGGAAGGAACAGCCCATTCATTTGCACAGTATAACTTGGACTAGTTTGCTCTATTAAAAATTGAAGATTACAAAGATCAGGTATTGATAATTGAACTTGGCAGTTTGAGAAATGGAAATTGTTTGAATTCAAAGAACAAAATCTGTTTTGAATCATATAAGAAAGGAAGCAAGCCAGGTGTGATGGTGTACACCTGTAGTCCCAGCATTCAGGAGGCTAAGGCAAGAGGAATGAAGCAAGTTTCAGGCCCGCCAGGGCCACATAATTAGGTTAAGGCCACCCTGCTCTGTAAATTGAGACCATGTCTTCAAAAAAAATAAATAAAACAAAATAACTGATCAAAGACCCTATAAAACAGAAAATACAGTTGAGTCGTGGAGAACTTCTGTAGAAACCATATTATGAGCGTATGTAAGAGAGTATTACCTGTGGCCAGGAATAATGGTGCTCACTTTTAATCCCAGCACTCAGAAGGCATAAGGATCACAATGGGTTTGAATGAGCCTGAACTACATAGTGAGTTCAAGGTCAGCCTAGGGTATGTAGCAAGACCCTGTCTCAAAAAAGAACATTACCCAAACAGGATCTACGTTGTGAATGGTGAAAAAAATAGATGGACAACAAACTGTTACTACATACATATAAAGCCACCAGTTCCAAGCATAAAACTTGGAATAGTTATTGGAGGTAAGGGTGTAGAACTTTATAATTTATTCCTTCAACCACTCAGATGGTTGGCATCTTGGAAACTCAGGTTCGTTATGAAGATAGTAATGTTCAGCTAGTAAATCATAAAGATGTACAAGATTCTGTAATAGTGTCTAATGAAGTGCAGATAGCAAAACAATTTATAAAAATTGTAGAATCTGTAAAAAATGAATACCAGACTTCTGTCAGTGAAAATTGTCAGACAGTGTCAGATACTGGCTTCAAAGCCTTATGTGGACAGTTACACGTAGTAAGATTGACTGGACCAAGATCCTTAGCCACGCTGGGGATTTAGCTCAGTGGCAGAAGTGCCTGCCTAGCAAGCACTTAAGCCTAGCAAGAGTTTGTGAGTTCAATCCCCAATACAAAAAAAAAAATCTTCAGCCAGAAGATAGGCAAAGAAATGCAGAACGCATGAGACAGGTCATTTTAGTGACTGCATTTTTAAAAATTACTGTAAAAGTGTTCAGAACTGTCAAGCTGCCAAGTCTCATGGGCTATTGGAACTTAAAATCAGTGTAAATAGTTTGATCAGAGCACAAAGCATAGCTAATAACTTTTATTTTCATTTTGTTGGAAGAGGATTGAAAAATGTTTAAAATGATCCATCTCGTTTATGATTAAAATTATTGAAGTATTACAAAAATATTATACTTAATGTAATCCTAAAATTATTGACTTTTGGCTTATGAAATGGGTAACTTTTTTTTGGTCTTTTTTCTTTTTATCGGTACCGGGGATCGAACTCACGACTGCCTGCTTTCAAGGCAGGCGCTTATGCCGCTGAGCTAAATCCCCAGCCCCTGAAATGGGTAACTTTTGATACTAGTCTAGTTCTTATTTTTTTTTTAATTTTAAAGAGAATAAAACCAAAGTACAACAGAATAAAGTCAATCAAAACAAGGCAGTGAAAGTGATACAAGACTGCAAAACAAGACAGTAGAAAATCAACAATGACTACCATAGTTTTTCTTATTATCTTCAAAATAGCCACCCATACACCATCAGACATAATAAAATCAAACAAAACAATAAAACCAAAACAAACAATAAAAATGATACAAGACTCAAAACAAGATAATAGGATTAGTAATGCCTAGGCATGCAGAGTCAGTTGAACAATACAAGCATTAAGTTGTTTCTTTTTGTTACTATCTCAGCCTGAGTTCCTCCAAATCAGCCAGTTGGTTGGGGTGGGTGGGGCAGGGTTGCCTCTCCTGTTCTGACTGCAGGCTGGCTGGCTCACTCACGGGGGAGGGCAGAGGCTTCCTGGTTCTCCCCCAGCTGGTGTGACTTCTGCTGGCTCATGGGGGAGGTGAGGATTGAGTTTCTGGTTCCCTAGCTGGCACAACTTCTGCTTGGCTCATGGGTGGGCTTGCATTTCTCTAGCCTAGTTCTTTTTAATCGGGTCAGTAGTAGACATTCTAGTTTAAGGTGGTTAATGGACTTAGGCATATGTGGTTCTAAGTAATTATCTCTTTTCCCCCTCATGTCTTGGATTTTTGTAAGGTTGAAATTAGAAGAAGAGCATTTTCTGTATCAATTGTGTTAAAGCTTTTAGTAAGGTTATTTAGCTAGCTTAGTGTTTAAACTTTTGTTTTTTCCTTTGGTCTTTTGAGACAGGGTCTTGCTATGCCGTATAGGATGGCCTTGAGCTCACTTTGTAGCCTGGACTGGTTTTGAACTCACAGTAATCCTCCTGCCTCAGCTTCCCAAGTGCTAGCTTCCCAAGTGCTAGGATTACAAGTGTGCATCACCATGCCTGCTTTAAACTTTTTTTTTAAAAATGCCAAGATCTATTGCTGTTTTGAGATTCTGAAATTAAGTGAAAATAGTTCTCAGAAATGCATTGAATTTTTTTTTTCATTAAAGCCACAAATTTAGTATGGCAAGGCAAGTTACAATATATATAATTCTGGACTCATGACCATGTCTCCACGTTTTATTTTTTCCTTGGATTGAGACATACTGAAATTTGGTGTGACATTGAAATGTAAACTTTCCTATTAAAAAAAGGGCAAGTATCTTGATACTTGTTTTTTGTTTTGTTTTTTTGTTTTTGTTTTTGTTTGGTACTGGGGATTGAACTCATGACCTTGACCTTGCCAGGCAGGTGCTTATGCCACTGAGCTAAATCCTCGGCCCTCTTGATACTTGTAAATTACTGCATTTCTAGTGTTTTGACAGTAACAAGTGGGTAGCATAGTGATACTGTTAAACAGTGCTTGCAACTTTCTTTTTCACATTTCTCTTACTTCTTTTTATTGCTGAAATAATTCTTTGCTGAAATTCTAGGAGAAAAAAACAAGAGGTTTTAAGTGACCAAATCCATAAAATTATTACCTTAAGTTATTTACAACCAAACTATTTTCTCATTGTCCCATAAATTCCCTACCCCTTTCTGGGTACTGGGGCTTGAACCCAGGGCCCTTGCACTGAGCTACATCCCAGGCCTCCATCTCCCTTTTTTATTTTAATTTTGAGAGCGTCTTACTAAAGCATAAATTGCCTAGGCTTAGTTTTAGTTTGGGTTTATCAGCCCCGCCTGTCAGAGTGCTGAAATTGAAGAAAGGCACCGTCGCCCCTGGCTTCCCTCAGTTTCTGTGGAAATGCAAAAGCATCTTTCCAGATACAGATAATTTGCAGCTGATCTGTGCTCTTTTGGTTGTAGCAGTTGTGTTCCAAAAAAAGGTTTTGGTCTTTCTCCTTCTTTCTTTTCATTGCTAAGGATCTGATCCAAGACCTTGCCCACTGAGCTGTCTCCCCATCCCTGTTCATTTTTTATAAATAAAGTCTATAATAAAAGTAGGAGAAAGCTTGTTATTTAAAGGAACCTATAACTTTTTATAGAAGAAATAGCCCTGTAAGTTCCAGTCACTCCTAATTAATCTTAATACATAAATCCAGAATTTTCCATATACAGTTTATGAATCCCTGAAATTTTTCTCCCACTAGAAAATTTTCTCTCTTATTTGGGTAATGATTTTCAATAAGATATGGGAGAGCAATTCATCAAACCATCAGAGTGGCATTTCATACCATAAAAGACCCTGTCCAACAGGCTGCTTATGTTTCCACAATTTTTAAAATCAGGTTTATTGGAGAGTATTTTATGCACAGTGAAATTTGTCCATTTTATTAAGTTGGTAAATGCGTATGGTGATGTTGCTATCATCACCATCAAAGCACAGAGCATTACTGTTACAGTGAAGCCCTCGATGCCCATGTTCAGTCAGTTCCTTCTTGCTAGGAAGAAGTCACTTCAGTCGCTGTCAGTAACTCATCTGTTTTCTGTCTGTAGTTTTGCGTTTTCCCAGAACATTAGATAAAGAGAATCACACAGTATTTAGCTATGTTAGTTTAGCTTCTTTTAGTTAGAAAAATTAATTTAAAATTGGTTCATTGCATCAGTTTGTTCTTTTTATTGCTAATCAGCAGTGTGTTGTATACATACATCATAGTATGTTTATCTATTCATGAATTGAAAGACATTTGTAATGAGTCTCCTTTGGGGTCATTATGAAGAAAGCTACTAGAATTGTTTCTATACACGTTTTCCTGAACACACAGGTTTTTACTTCTCTTAATTACTTCAAAGTAGGATTTGTGGGTTGTATGATAAATGTAAGTTTACCATGCCTATTTTCTTAGGTTGCAGAATCTTTTTATATTCCTACCAGTTATGTTTGTGAGTTCTCTTTGTTCCATATCTCTAAACTTGATATTATCAGTTTTGTTTGATCATTGTTCTTGTTACCCTTAGTCTAATGATTAATTTTGTTTTTGTCTTTTTGTGGGGAGGTTACTGGGAATCAAACTCAGGACCTTGCACTTGCCAGGCAGGCGCTTATGCCACTGAGCTATGTGCTCAGCCCTTGTTTTTTATCTTTTAACTTTTTACTAACTTGTATATATATTTGAAACCTGATTACTAATTTTACAATTAAACTATAATAACTCAAAGTTAATAGGCCACAATTTTTGTTAATACTGATGCCAAATAATTAAAGTATGTCAAGGAATAAACCAGCAAGTTTTTTTCCAATTTCATTGAGATGACTGGTCGGTTATAAAATTGAATGTGCTGGGCATCATGGTGCACTCCTGTAATCCCAACACTCCGGAGGCTGAGGCAAAAGGATTGCTGCAAGTTTAAGGCCAGCTAGACCTACATAGCAAGATCCTGTCTCAAAAAACAGAGAATAAAACAAGATGTATACTAACATCAGTTTAGTTCATGTGAATTTTAAATATAGTGATTTTATTGAGCTGTAGTCATATACTACAGAATTCACTAATCCCAAGTATATAATACACTGATTTTTAGTAAAATTTCACCACGAATCGATTATAGTACATTTCCATCACCACAGAAACATCTTGCAATCCAGTTCTTACTTCCAATTCCTGGCAAGCACTAATCTACTTGGAGGCTCTGTAGATTCACCACCTCTGTACACTTCCTGTAAATGAGATATGGAAAGTGTGGTCTTAGTAAAGCATATCTGAGATGTACAATTTTATTGTAAAAATAAACATAATCATTGGCCGGAGATTTAGCTCTGTGGTGTAAGTGCCTGCCTGGCAAGTGCAAGGTCGTGAGTTCTATCCTCAATACCAAAAAAAAAAAAATCATTGACTTTATGTATTTTTTTTAATTTAGGCTTTCCTCTGTATTGAATTTTCACATTGCCAGTACCACTCCGAAACGGTAGTTTATCCTACGGCAGCAAGTTCACTAAGTGCTGCTGGCACTGGAATTTACCCTTGCTGTAACCAAAAAGTTCTTCGGTTTGATCCTACTCAGCTTACTAAGGTAAACCTTGAACACTGCCTTTTTGTAGTTGCAGCACTCCCAAAATTAATGTTTTCTTCTTTTATTGTTCTTAAAGTTTACAGCAATATGTACATGAAGAAAAGACTTCAAATAGTATCATAAATGAGTTAGAAGAAATTGAAGTCCTCCTGTATACACTCCTCATCTCCTTAGGGGTAACCACAGTTAGCAATTTCCTTTCAGACCTTTTCACATCTTAGGTACTAATTGGTTTGTAGTATTTGCATATTGTATGTGGGATCATACTATTCATATGATAATTTGCCTTTTCACTCAGTAACAAACTTAGATTTCCTTTTAGTATAATTCTGTGTAACTCTTAGGTGATAGCCTGAGCTGTGCATGTGTACACAACTTTTTTAACCATTCTTTTACTGATTTTTAAATATTTTCCTATTGGTAAACATGTTTCCATATCAGTGATGTTACACTGTTGCAATGAACATCTTGGTATAATATTTGAATACTACTATGAGTTAGAGTCCTTGATCATTAACATCTTTGAAAATGTCATGTCATTCAATTTCATGAGTGGATGAAAGCAATCTAATGCGCCTCATCATCATTATCCATAGAAAAAATATTTAGAAAGCCCCAAAGGTGAGCCACACATGATTATGTATTTGGTGTGAGTTGAAAAATAATTACCTAGCAATAAATCTAACAGAATATGTGAAGAACTCTATACAGAAAACAAAACATTATTGAAAGAAAATAAAACTTTAGAAATGCATTGTTCTACCATGGTTGGAAGACTCCATATTGTAAAAGATACAAATGCTTCTTAAACTGACATATAGGTCAAAATCCTACAAATCAACATAAAAACCCCAGGACACCTATATCATAGGCATCTCACACAAGATACAAGAAAACAGCTGTTCTGTAAGTATGAACAGGACAGCCTTATTTGTAACTGGAGAAATGCAAATTAAAATCACAATGAATACCAATTCACCAGAATGATTAAAACTAGTGTCCAGGTGTTAGCAAGGATTTAGAATAATAGGGGTTCTCATGATCTACTGATGGTAATATAATTTGGTTCCAGGAAACATGTAAAAGAATGTTCATAGCAGTATTGTTTGTTTCCCCAAACTGGGAACAGCCCATCCACCAGCTATAGAAGAGATAAAAACATGATATATATTCATATAGTTATTATTATACATTAAAGCAAAACTTACAATTACATGTAGTAATACGGCTGAACTATAAGGACATAATGTCAAATAAAACTCAGGAGGCATAATGGTACCATAATGCTTAGGGTTGCATCCGTAAGTGGTCAAAGGGTTAAGAAAAGCAAGAAATAATTACCATAGAGATAGGATGAGAATAATAGAGGTTATCTTTTGGGAGAAGGGATGATCAGGAATGGCCCCAGGAGATTCCTGGAATCTTGTTTCTTAGTGTGAATTGCAACTTTTGAATTACTTGGGTATTTGTTCAGCTGTGCATTTGTGTTTCAATTTCTTGTTGGTATTTTTTTTCTCAAGGAAACATTGTAAAATATGATTTGACTAAACAAGAACAAAAGCAATGATCTTTAAAGGCATGTTCTGTAATGAACCATCTTCTCTAAATTAGTCTCCTTACATGACAGGGCTGTAAGGTGAGAGACCACGTGGTTGCCCTTCATGATCAAGATGAAGGAGGGGATTTGCCCTCTAGTCCAACTGCTAGAACCCTGGATGATCTGCAGAAGCACAAAGATGTCATCATTGTACCTTTTTCCAAAGACACAGTTAGGTGAGGCAAAACCTAGCCAGCAGTACTACGTTGCAGCCTTCTTCGGTAGTTCCTAGCTCATATGAGTTCCCCAAATTAATAATTTTAGTCCTGTAGTTGGTGTTCTTTATTTTAGTTTACTTGAAATTACATTAGCTTACAATGAAAACAACAGACATATATTTGATAGGAAAAACACTTAAAAGTGTTTGAGGTCCATAGGGAAGAAAAATTAGTGAAAGAGTCATTGGTGATTAAAAAGGTTGGAATCCTTAATCTAATTTGTAAAGGTTTTTTTGTTTTGTTTTATTCCCCTACTGCTTGAAGCAGTAGCTTGACATTGTTTTATTTGGATGGAGTTTTGTTTTGTTTATGGCTCTGGGGATTGAGCCCAAAGCCTCATACACGCTAGGCAAGCAGTCTCCCGTGGGCTACCTCCCCAGCACCAAGCCCTTCCTCCTCCTCCTGCTGCTCTTTCTCCCTCTCCTCCCCAGCCCCATCCAGTGGAGATTGAGCCCAGTCTTCATAGGCAGCTACATTCCTAGTTCTTTAATTGAGATAGAGTCTCACTATGTCATTAAGTTGCCCAGACTGGACTCAGACTTTTAATCCTGCCTCAGACTCCTGGAGTGCTGGGATTATAGGTGTACACCACTTCTGGCTATAAGCCCTCCTTCAATGCTTCATTTATCCAGATTTCTATAAATTTAAATTTCAGTTGGAAGTCACTTCCATTGTTTTGCAGTTACAACAGGCTGTGAGATTTGGGGCTGGCGCTGGTCTTGGTGGTGCCACACTTGTAATTCTAGCACTCTGGGAGGCTGAGGTGGGATGGTCACTGTAAGTTTGAGACCAGGCTGGATTACATAGGGAGTTCAAGGCCAACCTATACTCTTTTTTTTTTGAGAGTCTCAAAAAAATTTAAAAAGCAGAAAGGTTTGGGCTTGGAGACCATTTAAAAGAAGCTGTTCTCAAAACAGTACCAGTCAGACTGAGGGTGTGGTTCAGTGTTAAAATCCTTGCCTAACATGCAGGAGGCCCTGGGATCAATTGAAAGCCCTGAAAAAAACAAAAAGCAGTACCAGTAATAGCCCATTTCACCACCTGGTAAGTATGATGCTGCTTCTGCAGTAGGAAACCCTATGTGGATGAGTTTTGCTAGTGAACTAAGAACTGTAAATGTTGAAGTAACATCTTTATACTCAGTAACTATATTTCTTTTTCTTCAATGCTGGGGCTCACACAGGAACTGGGTTTTTGTGATACAGGGTTTGAACCCAGGGACATGAGATTATTATTTTTTTTTCAACCCTAGACATTTTACTGGAAGGGCATGAGATTATTAAAGAAATACTGTACCCCTTAGCCACATTCCCAGACCTTTTTTTTTTTAGACAGGGACACTGAGTTGCCCACGCCTCTGTGACCAGCTACATTCACTAGGAACTGTATTTATTTATATGGTGCTGGGACTTGAACTCAGGACTTTGTGCTTGCCAGGCAGGTGCTGTACTGATGAGCTATATCGCCAGTCCCAAGGAACTATATTTATTAAGATTGACTTATAAAGCATTTATTAAAGTCGATATGGTAGCACATGCGTGTAATCTCAGCACTTGAGAGGCCAAGGCAGGAGTGTTGTTGTGAGTTTGATACCACCAGCTTATGCTACAAAGTGAGCTCCAGGCCAGCCTGAACAGCATAGCAAGACCCTGTCTCAAAAAGACAAATAAATAAAGTAATAATAATTTTTAAATCTCATTAACCTTTTAAGAAATTGAACACTTCTCTATAAAAGTGTCCTCTTCTTTCAAGTGATCCTGTGGTTGGCCCCTGTGATGACAAGTGTCTGGAGTGTGATGTTTTACTGGAGCCACAAACACCATGGGGCCCTAAAACTGGGGAGCTCAATGCTGTGAGTAGCTTGTTTTACTTCTTTAAGAACACGCTTGATGATGGGGCGGACTGGGGACTTAGCTCAGCAGCATAAGCGCCTGCCTTGCAAACACGCTGTCATAGTTCGATCCCTGATACCAAAACACACACATACACACAAACACACACACACACACACACACACACACACACGATGAATTTTAATTTCTGACAGGAACCTGGACAGTTTAAATTGAAATATAACTGATTATCTAATCATAGAAGGGTCATATGCTGAGTTAAGACTTAAGTGATACCACATTCCTTACCCTCAATTAATAACTCATAGATTAAAATTGGGGTAGGGGAGTAACATGGTCTTCAGGATTTTTATTGTGGATAAAAAATAATTTGAGAAGTGAAGATACTATGAACAGATATTTTTGTCTCCCTTTGTTCTGTAAACTGTTTTATATGAAATTCTCTTTTTTTTTTTTTTTGAGGCAGGGTCTCTATGCAGTTCAGGCTGGCCTTGAAATCACTTTTGTAGCCCAGGCTGACCGATCCTCCTGTCTCAGCTTTCCAAGTGTTGGGATTACAGGCGTGAGCCACCATGCCTGGCTTATATGAAATTCTTAATTGTAATCAAGAATATATTTAGTTTTTTTTTTCAAGATAGCAAGAGGCATAATGGTAATCATTTTTGATCACCTGATATTCTATTTTTGCATCATATACTGTGTCCATCCTTCTGTTCTAACTGACTCTGTTTTGTTTTGTCACATTTGGTTTTATTCTCTTCAAAAAAAAAAGTAATAAGAACTATGGAAGTATTAGAACCCAAAAAATGTAATTGTTATTGTAAAAAAGAGAGGAAAAGAAAGTGGCCTAACGGATATAACTGCATGTATATTTAAGTGTGTAGGATAGAAAACCATACTACTGAGTTTTTTGTTGGATCATTGAACAAAACTGTTCTGTAATCTCACTGTATGAATGTGCACTTTGTATGCTTTAATTTTGTAATTTGGACAACTGTTTCTAAGATGACAATATGTAATCTATTAACTAGTGATTTCTTACTGTATTTTTTTTCTTGAAATTCTGTACTACTTGTACCTTTTACTGCTTTTTTTTCTCTTTTTTCTCTTTAAATAAAAAAAAGGGATATATTTAGGTTTTTAAAAAAACTGAGGATTAAAATATCTCTGAAGTGACCAAAAAGCTGATTTCCTTTGAGTTTGTTACTAAGTAACAGAGAATGTTTGCCTGTGACCTTCCCGCCTTTTTGGTGGTTAGGATAGAATTTACTTGAGAAAGTGAAAAACTCCAGGCTGCTATGTAAATATTCTGTCATTAACATTTACTTATTAATTTATATCAAACAATAAATTATATGATCATGGTCCCTTAATTTATAATAAAATACAAAATACCAACATTAAAAAATGATTGATATAGTTCAAAAATAACGTTATCTTTGCATGTGATTTATTTGTTCTTTGGAAATGATATTGGAAAAGTATTCTTTTTTTCTTTGAGACAGGGTCTCTGTGTAGTTCACGCTGGCTTTGAGCTCACCATGTAGCCAGGTTGGTCTTGAACTTGTGGTGATCCTCCTGCCTCAGCCTGCTAAGTGCTAGGATGACAGCTGTGTGCCACCACAGCAGGCTCAACTTTTTTCCTTCTTTCTTTTTAGCCTGCAGCACTGGCGATCGAATCAAGCACATAGCTTTTTCTCAGCAAATGCTCTATCACTGCAGTGCATCGCAGCTCTTATACGTTTTTTGTTTTTTGGGTTTTTTTTTTTTTTTTTTTTTTTTTTTGGTCTTTTTCCTTTTTATCGGTACCAGGGATCGAACTCATGACTGCCTGCTTGCAAGGCAGGCGCTTATGCCGCTGAGCTAAATCCCCAGCCCCCGTTTTTTAAAAATCCTTAACCTCTAGGCAGGGAATTTAAAATACTGACATATTAACTTAGTATAGCACTTTCATGCTGAGTGTTAAATTGTTTCACCTTGAAAGGGAACTATACTGGTAACTGTTTCAATTCTTCTGCAATATCCATGTGCAAATGAGGAGCTATAATCCCGCAGATGAAGATTTGTTAATCTGTTATTCTGTTTTACAGTTCTTGTCTCTGAAAAACTGGACTCTGCAACTAGTAAGTGAGCGATTACATTCAGCTTCCTTTATAAGTGAAGATTTAGTTTAAAATCCTACAAGCATTTTTTCCTTTTACAAATTTTAGTTAAACACTTCTCTTTTAGCTTCTCCACTTCTGTGTTTACTAAAAATGGCCTAAGATTGCTTAAAGAGACATGTACTCCTTTATCAGACTGCATAAGCCACTGGTCTGGTTAAAATGCTTTTTAAAAAAAATTAATTCAATTTATCGGTACATTTTAGATAAACATAATGATCACATTTAATAGTGGGAGTTTGTACCTGTACATGATGCATTTTGGTTCTTTTGGTTAAGGCTTTTAAAAGTCATTCTAAAATCACATTTAGGACAATGAACAAAAGAAATACCTGTTAAATTCTCATCTGGTTGGTTCATTTATTTGTTCAGTTTTTAACCTGCTTGCCAATACTATGCTATCTGCCATCGTTATTCTTAAGAATGTAATAGGGATTTGGGGTAGTGATGACAGACAGTGAGGTACATAGGTGCAGGGAAGTAATGTAGATATGTTTAACTGTTAAGAGCCCCAGTCATACATGTATTTGTTTAGAAAACTGTTTGTTTGTAGACAATAGGTTTCACTATGTAGACCAAGCTAATGCTGAACTCCCAATTCTGTAGCCTTAGCTTCTCAAGTGCTTCTCAAGTATGGTGTATGCTACTAGCCCAGATAAGAGACCATTTTAATATTGGTAATTATATTGTGATTTAATCAGTAAAAGGAAAGTAGGTTCTGTTGAGTAATGGAAATACAATTCAACAAATGCTGAGTACCTATCTTATGTCTATCACTGTGCTAGGTTCTGTGAAAGAAATACATTTTTAAAAATTTGCTATGATGTAATCTTAGGGGGTTATTTTTGATTTTTTGAGACAGGGTCTCGCTGTGTAGTGCAGGTTGGCCTCAGTCTCACTGTTTCAGTCTAGGCTGGCTTTGAACTCATGGCAGTCCTGCTGCCTTAACCTCCTGAGTGCTGGGATCACAGGCATGCACCACCACGCCCAGCTTGATGTAGTTTCTATCAGAATGCCGCTTTTGTTCTTTTCATTTTGTGGTGCTGGGGATTGAATACGGGGTTTTATCTGTGATAGGCAAGAGACTACCGCTGAGCTACAACCCCAGCCCTGAATGCAGAATTTCCTGCATCTTCATCCTGAATGTTGCGTTAGGTGCAGACAGCAGTCATCTTATCAGCTCTTATTTGACTCATTCACCCAAAATAAAGGGGTAAATGTGTTTTAAAGAATTCATTAGATTCAGGCATGGTGACACACCCCTGTAATCCCAGACTCCAGAGGCTTGAGGCAGGAGGACCACTGAGAGTTCAAGCTAGCCTGAACTACATAGCGGAACCCTGTCTCAAAACAAACAAAAATAATTCATTTGAGGTGTAATAATATTACACTTGTAATAGATGTGTTTGTTTTTGAATTTAGAAACAACAGTCATTATTTTCAGAAGAAGAAGAATATACCACTGGATCTGAGGTCACTGAAGATGAAGTTGGTGATGAGGAAGAAGTATCCAAGAAACAAAGTAATGGCTTCTAAGTTAAATCTTTCCTTACTGTTTATGAAGAGGTTACATTCTAAAGCTTTTACTCTAAGAGATGGGGAACTGACTTTGTGTATCAGTGTGGTAGATTACAATGTCAGCCCCCCAAAAAAAAGAAAGAAAGGAGGCCCCATTAAGAGTTCTCATCTCTAGCACAAATACAGAATACTCTAAGTTATAAAACAATACAGTATACTGAGAAATAATTTTCCAAATTTTTATTCAAACATAATCTAATGTATGACTCACCTTAGATGAAATGTGACCAGAGATGTGTACCCATAGTGACTTGGAGTGTCCCTCAGATGAGCCACTGAATCACATTCATAGGTATGATTTTTAAAAGAGAGAAACACAACGGCAACTGTTTGCCGTGTTCAACACATTGTTCCACGAAAGAGCAGGGAAAATTGATTCAAAGGGCCTTTGAAGACCCAGCTGTTTACAAGCTTTTGAAAAAGAATAGTGAAAAAAGATTACAAGTTAGATGCAACACTGAGTAAAGCCCAGTAAGGCAAAAAATCCATAACCTTTGAGCCATTCTTTTCTATCAGAGAGAAATCATTAGCATTTCTGTTAGTCAGAAAAATCTGTTAATTAACATGTAACTTTACAATGTCTGGGCTACAGTGAGGAGCCCAGGGTTAAGGTGTTGCTGAGGTATAGAGGGCTTCCTTAGCATGTGCAAGACGTGGGCTTAATCTCCAGCACACAAAAAACCAAAGTCCGGGATTCCCTTAGAGAATCAAGTAATTCTTCACTGGATCAGTTAAAGCAGTCCTTCAATATGAGGTTGAAAAGACATGCTGTTCTGTCTTGGTCTTCAAGTTTTACATAATGTTTTTGTAGCATCAAATCTCATGAAAAACCAGCTATCATTTATCTTTCAGGCCTGACTGGTCAAGGAGAAAATCCCATGACGGGTGTGTGTGTGTGTGTGTGTGTGTGTGTGTGTGTGTGTGTGTGTGACGGGGTGTGTGTGTGTGTGTGTGTGTGTGTGTGTGTGTGTGTGTGTGTGTGTCTGACATGTAATAAAATCGCCCATTCCACCCCAGTGAGGCTGGTGACTTTTGGCACACAGTGATGTAGCACATTGCTACAAAATGTTCCCTTGTGCCCTTTTGTTTTATATTCATTTCCCTTTCTCCCCTAAAGCAATCACTAATCTGTTTTTTGTCACTAGTTTACCTTTTTTGGGATTTCATATTAGTGAAATCATAAATAGTCTTTTGTCTTTGGGTTCTTTCATTTAGTTTGATGGTTTTGAGAGTCATCTGATCTATATTGTTGCATGTGTCAGTAGTTTGTTCCTTTTTATTGCAGGATAGTACTCCATTACATGGATATTATCATAATTTGTTCACCCATTCACAATTTCACGGGCATTTGGGTTTCCAGTTGTTACCTATAATGCTGCTGTGAACATTTGCATACAAGTCTATGTGGACATATGTTTTCATTTTTCTTGGGTAGACACCTAGGAGTGGAATTTCTGGGGCATATGCTAAGTGTGTTTAATTTTATAAGAAACTACCAAACTGGCTGGTCCGAAGGTAGTGAGGTATCTCAATTGATTGTTCACAGTCAGTACAGATTGAACTCCTTGTTCTACTCTTTCCCCCTTCTCACTACTGCACTTGACTAGTCTTTCTTTCTTTCTTTTTTTTTTTTTTTTTTTTTTTGTCTTTTTCGTTTTTATCGGTACCAGGGATCGAACTCACGACTGCCTGCTTGCAAGGCAGGCGCTATGCCGCTGAGCTGAATCCCCAGCCCCCACTTGACTAGTCTAAAAAAAAAAAAAAAGAAAGATACTACCAAACTGTTCTTGCAAAGTGATTGTACCATTTTGCATTCCCCACAGCAACATACAAAATTTCTAGTGTTGTACATTTGCATCAGTGTTTGGCACTGTGGATGATTTTAATGTTAGCCTTTCCAGTGGATATATAGTGGTAAGCCTCTTCATATGTGTCTTTGTTGTGAGGTATGGAAGTCACTTGCCCATTTTTAATTAGGTTATTTGCCTTATCTCTGAATCGTAAGGTTTCTTTATATATTTTGGTAAAAGTGCTATGTCAGCCATGTATTTTGTAAATACTTTCAATTTATGGCCTTTTAATTTTCCTAATGGTGTCTCTCAAAGACCAAAAGTCTTTAATTAGGGGCTGGGGATTTAGTTCAGCGGCATAAGCGCCTGCCTTTCAAGCAGGCAGTCGTGAGTTCGATTCCCGGTACCGATAAAAAGGAAAAAAGACAAAAAAAAAAAAAGTCTTTAATTTTGTTAACTCCAATTTTTTAGTTTTTTCTTTTATGTTACGAAAGTTTTGCCTGCCTCAAGGTCACAGGTTTTCTGCTGTGTTTTCTGCTGGAAGTTGCAGGATTGTAGCATGCTTTGTGTTTAGGCCTATGATCCCTTCCAGGTTAGTTTGTTCATTGTTGTGAGTTAAGGGTCCAGTGTCCTCTTTCTTCCACAGGCATAGCTAGTATTTATTGAAAAGTATTTATTCTTTCCCTTTTGGATTATCTTGGCACTTTTGTTAAAAATTACTTTACTTTAAAAAAAAAATGGTTGACTTTTATGTCTGAACCTTGTTCTCATCTATTGATCCTTTTTTTTTCTATTGATTCTTTTATCTGTCTTTACATCACTGTACAATACCACATTGTCTTTTTTTTAATTTTTATTTTAAAGAGAGTAAAACCAAACAGAACAAAGCCAATCAAAACAAAATAATGAAAATGATACAGAAATTCAAAATAGGATAAAGAGAAATTAACAATGGTTACCATAATGCCTCTTTTGTTATCTTTCAAATTGCTGCCCATGCTATCAGACATAATAAAATCAAACAAAATAAAACCAATCAAAAGAGAAAATTGAAGAAACAATAAAATGGAACAAAACAGAATAATACTGGATTTCAAAAGCAAGACAGAAAGAATGCTAATTGCATATTGTTATCCTCTAAATAGATGCTCAGACTATTGACTTTAGGCCCACAAAGTGTCAATCAAACTATACAAACATTAGGTTGTTTCTGTACCTCAGTTGCTATCAACTTAGCCTGTTGCTTAAGGTGGGGCAGGGACGGCCTTGTCTCCCAGCCTGATACCGGCTGACTCATGGGAAGGGTGAACTGGCCCTTGTTTCTCTTTCCAGGCCCTCATGGCCACCACTGGCTCAGAGGGAAGGCCCTCATTATCTTAAGTTTGGTGAATTTTTAAATCGAGTAATATGAGTTCTCTAAAATTATTCGCAGTTTTAAAATTTTAGCCTTTCTAGATGATTTGCATTTTCTGTAAATTTAGAATCAATATAAACAGCTCTATAAATATCTTGCCAAGATATTTACTGGGACTGTGTTGAACCCAAATATCAATTTGGGGCAAACACCTACCCCCAGAAATTCTCTGAATTCATGACAGTGGCATACTTCTTGCATTTATTTGTTGTTTTAAATGTCTCACTAGTGTTTTATAATTTCATTGTACATGTGGTGAGCATCTCCTGGTAAATTTATTTCTATTATTTCCATCATAAATAGTGTTGGTTTTTTAAATTGTTTGTTCACAATATTGTATATTAACCTTTCATCATATGAATTTGCTAAATTTAAATTCATTTATTTGTTCTTCACTTGATAGATTCCATTCCAGTTTGTGTTCCTTTCTTTGTATTCCTTTCTGTGCATGCTAGGACCCGATGTTCAGAGGAGTCAGCCTTGTCTTGTTTGTCATTTTGGAAGGAAGCACTTAGTCTTTTGCCAATAACATGTAGTATTAGTTGTTCCTTTTTTTTTTAATTTTATTTTAAAGAGAAAAGAGAACAAAATTTAAAACAATAATTAGGGTGTAACAATGATATATATTGTGCATTGTTACCTTCAAATCAGCTACTCAGAGTACAAGATATCTGCATTTAGTCATCTGAACAGTGCTAACACAGATCTTTCTCTTCAGTAAGCTCAGAAAAATCAGTCTAACTGTGTTAACTATTTTTTATGTATACAGTTTCAGCTTCTCACACTAGGGAGACAATACTTTTACACGTGCATGTCTGATTTATTTCACTAATGAGTATGGTTTCAAGTTGTATCCATTTATCTATAAAAGCCTCAAGTTTATCTTTCTTTATGGCTGAGTAGTACTCCATTATATAAAAATACCACATCTTTTTTATCCATTCCTCAGTTGATGGGCATTTAGGTTGCTTCCAAGATCTGGCTATTACAAATTGTGCTGCTGTAAACTTGGGTATACATATATTGCTGTGGTATGTTGTTTTTAATTCTTATGGGAAGATACCCAGAAGAATAGCTGGATCAAATTGGACTTCTAATCCTAGTTTTTTGAGGAATCCACACTGATTTCCATAGTGGTTGCCCCAGTCTGCACTTCCACCAACAGTGAAGAAGCGTTTCTTTTTCCCCACAGCCTCTCCAGCATTTGTTACTGCTTGATTTCTTGATACTAGCCATTCTTTCTGGGGTGAGGTGGAATCTCGGTGTTGTTTTAATTTGCATCTCTTGGATACCAGTGATGTTGAATACTTTTTCATATATTTATTAGCTGTTTGTATTTCTTCATCTGAGAAATGCGTATTCATCTCAGATGTCCATTTTTGGATTGGGTCTTTAAATCCGGGAGGACTGATTTTTTTGAGTTCTTTATGTATTCTCAATAGTAATGCTTTGTCTGAGGAACAGCTGGCAAAAATTTGCTCCCACCTCATGGGTTTCTTTTCACTTGTTGGTTTCTGTTGTTGTGTAAAAGCTTTTTGATAAGATGCCATCCCAGTTGTTGATTCTTTGTTATCAGGTCTTGACCTAGATCTCTGATCTTCCAAACGAGTGTATGGCGGAGGTTTAAATAAACCAAGACAAGTTATATGATTTTAGGGCTCCAGGAGGCTGAAAACCCTTTAGTTGAGCTCAAGACTCTGAGGGCTAAGACAAAGACTTCTCTGGATCGCCCACTTTATT